TTACCCCCCCATGGAACAAAAATAAAACTCACACAGTCAAAAGCTTGGACACACCCTTTCATTCCATGTTTTTTTTCTATTTCAGTATTTTTACATTTGATATACGCACAGAAGATATCGGATATATGAAGTAATATTTACGGAATTATGTAGCAAAGAAAAAAAGTGAAATACCTTAAGCATATCCATCTAGCAAATATTTACTACGGGTGTTTCCATTGCTCAAAAACTCACTAAATCCTTCTGTGAATAAGGGAGACTCTCCACAGATCTGAACCGTAATGCTGCGCTGAGCTGTAACCTGCTCGTCTCACTCGTCATAGATCGGTTTAATCTACACTGTGGAACCTTCTAGACAAAGCAGTAACATTTCAGTTAGAGGTGTGCAAAAATATCGAAATATCAATATATCTTATAGTTTAATGTGATGATACAGTTTTGATATTGTGGGCTGCTGTATCGATATATCGTCAAAGATTATTTTTTTGTTTATTTTACTAAATTATTTTGTTACAATGCTACAGTTTTGTTGCTTGTTTAGAGGAAGGAAACTTTTTTTGCAACACATTTGATGTTTTCACAGTTTTTAGGGTTAAAATGTTTGTGTTTCATATAAACTTTGCACAAGAAGTGGTTTAACAAAAACTTTAAGTATCACAGCCATGATTTCGTCTCGAATCAATTTTAAATATATCGTATTGAATCGTGAGCTCATTGTATGAAGATATGTATCGTATCGTAGCCTACATATTGAGGTATGTATTGTATTGAGGCATGTATCGTATCGTGGCCTACGTATCGAGGTTTGTATCGTATCATGGTCTACATATCGAGGTATGTAATTATGGCCTCCCTATCGAGGTATGTATCGTATTGTTGCCTATGTATCGAGGTTTGTATCATATCGTGGCCTACATATCGAGGTTTGTATCGTGGCCTAAGTATCGAGGTATGTATTGTATTGTGGCTTACGTATCCAGATATGTATCGTATCGTGGTCTACATATCGAGGTATGTATCATATCGTGGCCTTCGTATTGAGGTATGTATCGTATCTTCTTAATGATACCCAGCCCTAATTTCAATGGAAACAAGCAGGTGGCGGACCTTCGAGTACAAATTCTACGCAGTGCAGCTGTAAATAAAAAGTACCAAAGTATCAAAGTACTACACCACCTTGCTTGCACATACTTATTTACTGAAGCAATATAGAAGAAATTGGAAAAGTGTCAATTAAAAACCCATAACCATGAGCAGATCTGGGTCAGCGGGAGCTCTCTGCGTGATTTGAGTTAATGGGGGAACGCTGAGTACCCCAATAAAATGTGAGCTAATATATTACTTGTGACATCAGGATTAGTGTGGATTTGGAGCTTGTAAGCAGTACCAGTTTTTACCAGCTTTCCTCATATGACCCCTTTAAAGTGATACATTCTGGATATGCCTAAAATCAACCCAAATAAACCACGTCATGCTCACTCTGATGATTATAGAGGTTTGTTTTTCTTGATTAAGTGCTTTTCCATTTGCCTCCATGATCAGACCAGATGCAGTTGTGCAGCGTCCAAATATTATGACGTTATGTAAACAATGTGCCTGGTCTCATACATCACCAGTGAAATAATCCATCTTCTCCTCCTCACGGAGCCAAGTCTCAAGTCCAACCAGCTGCACAGAGGTGGAAATATCGATCAAATACTTTTACATAAGCCTCTAAACAAAGTACTTTCAAGGTTCAGTGGCATATAAGGTTGTAGTTGTAGAAGGATAGAAGTTATGGGAGAATTACTAAGTATAAGTGACACAGTAGTACAGGGTTGGTACACACATACAGTATGTCATAAGAAAATATTTCATTCAGCACTTAATCACTCTGCTTTATGTTATTTTGAGGTTTTATAATGTTTCCTCATCACAAACAGACCTGGAGTTGTGTTTTGTTTCATTCACACGTATTTTAAGCACAAAGCTCCGATTTCTTTTCTCAAATTGGAAATACTCTGTTCCACCTTTTGATGTCATGTGGTAATACAGGAAGTGCTCCAATGTGTTTTTAAACTCCATACACTTTCACTAGAATTATTTGGATCATTTCAGCCCTGGATTGTTGTTTGGTCTCTACTGAACAAAAGGTAAAAGGAACTGTTAACTTGAACTGAGCATTTTGAGCTTTGGAGATGTAGTCAGACAAATAATAAAGGATTACTCATGTCTGAATGAAACAAAACACCAGGTCTGTTTTTGAGAAAGTGAATTCTAACATGAATTCTAACATAGCTTAAAGCTCACAATAATCACTTTTGTCTAATACACGACCTTATAGGGAAAAAAATATAGTAAAAATGGACATAACATACCTAACATCATAAGTTGTATTTATTTATTTTTAGTTCCAAACACAATCCCACCAAATTCAGTAGAAACATTATATTCAAATGCTACTGTTTACTTTTAGTGTGGTTGTATAATTGAAGTAAATGTACCATAAGACCCACAGATAAATTACAATTGTGGCCGTGCTGGCTTGTCAAAGCCTGATCTCATCAGATCTCCGAAGCCTAGTCGGGACTTGAATGGGAGACCTCTGAGAAAATCAGGGGCCACAGGGCGGCACCAGTTGCAAAAACTGTTGATGTGTCCTTAGGCAAGACACTTCACCCACATTACCTCGTATGAAAGTGGTGTGTGTGAATGATGGTGGTGGTTGTAGGGGCTGGTGGCGCAAATTTGCAGCCTTGCTTCTAGTAGTGTGGAGTGAGTGAATAATGATCTGTAAAGCGTCTTTGTGAAATATGTCTGTGAAAAGCGTTATATACAGAAAAACAGTGCTCCACTGTGTTTTTAAACACCATACACTTTCACTAGAATCATCTCTACTGAACGAAAGGTAAAAAGTAGCTGTTAACTTGAAAACTACCGCTTCATGACATCACAAGGTGGAATAGAGCATTTTGAGCTTTGGAGATTTAGACAGACTAATAATAAAGGGTTACTTAAACAAGTGTGAATGAAACAAAACACAACTTCAGGTCTGTTTTTGAGAAGGTAACAATATTCTAACATGGCTTATAACTCACAAAGATCAATTTTGCCTAATGCACGACCTTATAGGAAAAAATATATATAGTAAAAATGGACATGACATCTTTACATCACAAATATATATATATTTTTTTTTAAATAATACAATCCCACCAAAATGATTAGAGAAAATTATGATTTATGTGAATTCAAAGAGATATGACAGATGTTCTTGACGAAATGTAGTTATGAATCATTATACAGACAGAGAACCATTGATATCAAGACATGAGATTAAGATCTTGATCCAGTTTCTATTTGGAAATCGCGCTGATGACTTATTGAAAAAATGGACATTCGCCAAGATCTCCTCACACTTTAAGTCACGTCACTAAAGCTCTTCCCAGAAACCTGCAAATCCAACGTTACGCAAACTGACAGTGATCTCACCATGTTTTGGCTGAAGATGTAAAAATGTACTGAACTTGGAGACAGGTTCAAAACACTGACTCAGGACACATCTGGGATTTCTTCCACGATAAAATAGAAAAACGTGGAGCTGGATCCAAATAAAACATTGTATTTTACGGTCCAGACACAATACAAAGTTATATTCATTATCAACGCTTGGTAACAATTATGAGGAAAAACAGAGCTCGGCCTGGTGGTAATCAAAAATATTAATACTTTTGGTTAATGGGGTGGAAATACCATGGAAATATGAAGATAAACTACTTTGGAACATCCTTCATGGAAATAGCGTTTTATACTGTGGAACATTATCTCCAAAAGCACAGCATTTCCATGGAGACAAGCCTAGATAAGGTCCTATTCCAGGTCAGGCCAGTCCGTTCTGTGGAGATGGAGTCAGGGTGTGTGTTTCTGGATACTTTTCTGTATACTGACTTTATAAATTACAAAATTTACATTACAGGGACATTACATTGACAATATTCATTTTCTGGAGACAAATCCTGTTTCGACTCATATCTGAACTGTAAATCACACTGTTGATCTAATAATCTGTTTCATGCCCAAATGGAAGGCAGGTCCCCGTGATCTTATATTGTGGGACAGATTTTAGTCCCCATAATGTGAAAAATACCCCCCACACACAGTTGAAGACCTTTTTCACAACGGCCAGAACTTTCGGTTAATGCTTTTCTATGGCAAAATGTCTGTGGAAATGTCCACCAGCTTCATAAATCTGCCCCATCACCAAATCTTCAACTAACAAGGTCCACAAAAGACATATTCTGTCTTAAGACAAATGAAAGCTTAAATACTAACAACAACTAGCATCTGTGAACTGCTACTGAGCAAAACTAACATTATGGTCATGAATAAAACTTATAACTTATAACTTAATAACTTGTTAATGCAGACTGATTCTAGAATAAAAATTAAAAATGGGTTTCATGATGTAGATATTAGCATAGACAGATAAATTTGTGCAGTTAGAATGCTAGACATGCTAAACAGAACATCTGTAGCATTCGAACTGCACAAAGCTCTCTATCTATGCTAATATCTGAGTCATGATTTATTTTTATTTTTTTTATTGTAGAATCCGTCTGAGCTAACAAGTTACTTATGTTTTTTTCATGACCATAATGTTAGTTTTGGTCAGGAGTAGTTCACCTTTCATCTTTCTTTCCTTGATAGTTGTGGATAAAGTCTTCATGGACAGATGTGTTTGTTCTTTGTGAACCTTGTTGGATGAAGATTTGGTGATGAGGCAGATTTATGAAGCTGGTGGAAAAGACACAAGACACTTTCCAGAGACATTTTGCAATAGAAAACCTACCACACCACCGCAAATCTACAGCGGGGCATTTCCAGCCGTGGTGAAAAACGTCTATAGCATAGTCTGTGGTCAAAGCATTCAAAAGATGGCTGTTCTAAAAATATAAGATGTTTATTTGCAGCATATTCACCACCCAAGATTTTAAACTTTTATTTTTTTGTGTGTGTTGCAGAGTATTGAGCGAGAAGAGCCCATTGAAGTGGACCCAGCCCCGACCAGCGGCACCCTGGAGAATGGACACGCTCACACAACAGGTAACAGCTTTTGTCAATATTTGTAGTGTACTGTTATTTCTATTACAATTTGGTTTGGCTGTTTTGTTGTGTAATATTGTTAAAAGTTCTGGTGGAGGGTTTATCAAATGCTTTTCTACATGGAGATGCTATTGCTTTGTTTGGAGTGTTTCACAGTATGGTATTAAATCTTCCTTAAATCTTCATGGAGAACACACCAGACCCATGTTAAGTCAGATCTGTGGAGCGTCAACCCCGCTCACAGTTAGAATGTTTGTTTTTAGAGGTATTTTTAAGCTATAAAACCACATGTAAATGACTAAATGTAAAGTAGAGGCTGTTTAATGTCATACTATGGAACATTTCAGACAGAGCAATGATATATCCATAGAAACAAGCAGGTGAAGGACCCTCAACCAAAAAGTTACATAGTGCACCTTTAAATGTCCCACATATTGACAATAGGGATGTAACAATATCCAAATCTCTCGGTACAATATTTTTCCAATATGCATCTCACCGTACGATTTTTATTGCAATATTTTGTAAAGACTAATATAATTGTCATTATTGCTTTTAAAATACCTTGACAAGATTTGGTATGAATTATTACTGTCATAATCAAAGAATTCAAGTAAAAGCATATTTCTTCATGTTCACTGTAAAACATTTGCATTTAATCAAAGAAACTTGTAATTCGATATATTGTAACAGCCCACGATATTATTGTGAGACTTTTTACGATACTGTATCACGATATTTCGGTCATTGTCACATCCCTAATTGACAATAAATGTTGTTTTATGTTCATATTTTAGTTTTAGTTATGAAGCCTAGATTGCTGTCAGTCCAAGAGTACACAGATGCCAACTGACTGTCTCCCAGATGGTATTGCTTTGTCTGGAATGTTCCACAGTGGTATTAGACATGTCTATCTGCATGAAGACAAGCACGTCAGATCTGTGGAACTGCATCAGTAATTTCAGGAATAAAAACATTTGTAATCAGATAAATGTAATATCAATAAGTTTAGTGCTGACTGTGAAATATTTTAGGCAAAGCACAACATTTTCATGGACATCAAAAGACATCAGCTGCCTACAACACCTCTACTGGTATTTGGAAGATTTGAAAGTGTTATCATGTCTCTCCATTCTTCTTCCAGATCACTCAGTGGCAGTGAACGGAAAGCTGTCTCCTTCTTCTGACCTGCCCCCGCACACAGCGCCCCCTGCAGTCCGGGTGCCCCACATGCCGATCACAGCCACCACGAAGACAGCAGAGATGAGAGCTCAGGGATCTCCCATCAGCCCCAGCGGCGCTCGGTCTCCTGCGTCAGACAGCCCCCCTCTGAGCCAGTCCCCGAACAGCAACCACCAGTCACCTGCAAGAGTTGAGTCTCCAGGTAACACAATCCATAATATTCAATGTAAGGTGCATTGTGTAACTTTTCTGGTGGAGGGTCTGTTAAATGCTTTTCTTCATGAAGATGTTATTGCTTTGTCTGGAATGTTTCACAGTATGATATTAAACCTTTCTATCTTCATGGAGACCAAACCAGACTAAGTTACAGGTCAGATCTGTGGAGAGGCGACCCCACTCACAGTTAGAATGTTGTTTTTCTAAGTGTTTTTGAGCTATAAATCCACTTGTAATTGAACAAATGTAAGGTAGAGCTGTTTAATGTCATACTGTGGAACATTCCAGGCAGAGCAATGACATCTCCATAGAAACAAGCAGGTGACAAGACCTCCAACCAAAAAGGTACTGTTACTACAATACAATTTGAAGTGAAAGTACACACCAAAATCATTACAAGTATGAATTCAGTGAAATATATTTTACAAATTGTTCTCTACATTTCTGAAATACTTGACTCTCCATGGAGATCTTATTGCTTTTGCCTAAAATGTTCCACAGTATGGCATTTTACTCATCTATTTTGCATTTATTCAAGAACAGGTGCCTCAGAAAACATGCATTCTTATTGTAAGTGGAGTGGGCTCACTTGTCCACTGATCTGACCAGTAACTTGAGCTGCTTGTTACCATGGAACTAGTTAAGTTTTATGCCATATTGTGGAACCCTCCAAGAAAAGTAAAAACTTCTCCATGGAGACGAGCAGGCGGTGGGATGTTCTATCAGAGAAGTATTGTAATGTTCTCTATTTTCTGTAGCCCCCACAGTGAAAACATGGACCCCAGCTCCAGTCCGGACTCTGGGATCTCCTCGGCTTCAGGGTGAGTTCACATTTTCAAATACAGTATATGTTCATTCATTTGGACCAGATTAAGTAGGCAGTATTTACCCTAACATATGTATGGTGCGTATGTTTTTATTTTTATTAACCAAGATGCAATCAAGGTTTAATTTTAATCAAAACAGACAAAGATGTTTTTTTTTGTCATATGGGAAAAAATTACCTTACAGACAATGAACAGAATAGTTTAGAGATGCACTGCGTAACATTTCTAGTGGAGGGTCTGCCATGTGCTTGTTCTCCATGTAAACGTTATTGTTTTGTCTAGAATATTCCACAGTATAGATTAAACTACTCAAATCTGTGGAGAGTTGCCCCTATTCACAGAAGGAATTATTGTATTTTTGAGCAATAGAAACGCATGTAATTAATAAATGCTAGATGGAAATGGTTAAAGTCATACCATGGAACATTCCAAGCAAAGCAATAATATCTCTATGGAGACAAGAAGGTAGCAGGTCTTCCACCAGAATCGTAGCACCTTCAAAAGAAATCTCCTTATGTTTTGTCCCTGTGCAGTGGTTATAGCCTCTTTACAGTTAAAGGTGCACTGTGTAACTTTTTGGTTGGGGGTCCGTCACCTGCTTGTTTCTATGGAGCTGTCATTGCTCTGCCTGGAATGTTCCACAGTATGACATTAAACAGCTCTACTTTATTAAAAACATTTATTAAATTACAGGTGGTTTTATAACTCAAAAACACGTAGAAAAACAGATATTCTGACTGTGAGCGGGGTCGTCTTTCCACAGATCTGACCTGTAACTTGGCCTGGTCTAGTCTCCATGATGATAGAAAGGTTTAACAATTCGAGACTAAACAGTAACATCTCCATTTAGAAAAGTATTTCACAGAACCTCTACCAGAAAAGTTACACAGTGCACTTTTAAATATTTTTTGTTGTTTAGTCCTAATTCAAATTAATAATCAGGTTTGTGCTTTACAGAAAAGACCAATTCCGCTCCTCCAAAGTGTGTCACATACTCTGGACTTCCACAACAGGACAGGTAACCAAGAGTCATTATCCAAGAGTCATTATCTCAAAGGACATACATATAGATACTTAAAGATATAAGGTGCAATATGCATATGTACACTATGTTTAAAATGCATTTGTCCCCTCCTCACAGAGACAGCGATGCAGTGAATGAGCGGGCAGTAGGAGAGAGGAGGAGGGAGCTGGTCCGGTCTCAGACTCTGCCCAGAAACATCGGCGCCCAGGCTCGGCGCTCCATCTTTGAGAAACTGGAGTCAGAGGCGAATAACAACAGGTACATGACAACAGCTTGGGCTCACATTATAGATTTTGTCATATTTTCAAATGGAAGACAGGGGGTGACATAACTCTCTATAACTATGAGAGATCACTGTTTTAAAAGGTTCCATGTTGTGCTAAATGGACCCTTGAGAGCTTTTAGCCATGTTATAATGTACCTCATGTTTGAGTAATCCTTTAGTATGAATCTGTCTACATTTCCAAAGCTCAGAATGCTCTGTCCCAACTTGTGATGTCATGATGTAGTAGTTTTCAAGTTAACAGTTACGTTTTACTTTTGGTTCAGTACAGATTGGCAATTCACAAACACAGTGGAGCACAGTTTTCAGTTTGAGAAAAGAAGTCAGCCTAAATAAGAAGGGTTTTGTGCTAAGCATGTGAGAATGAAACAAAACACAATTCCAGGTATGTTTTAGACGAGGAAACAACATTATAACCTAGATCAGAAAATAACGTAAAATTGGCTATTTAAAATAACTATCAAAACATAAGATATATACATTTTAAACAGCAAACTCCACCATAGAATTATGAAATGTCCTCTAGCTCAGTTTTAAACTATAGTGTGAACTATGTTGTGATGGTATGTGAATGCAACTTATTTTGGACACATGTATCTCCAAAATGTTTTGCATGGACTGGATATCTGATTCTAATTCTTCAGATCTGCTACATGACATCTAACGAGTATTAAACTGTCCTTCCTCTGTTGCAGGGGTCCTAAAGCCATGGATTCAAAGCCCAAACTGAAGCGTTCTCAGAGTTTTGGAGTGTCCAGTGCCAGCAGCATTAAACAGATCCTGCTCGAATGGTGCCGCTCCAAGACCATCGGATACCAGGTACTGAACCGATATGTGAATAAGTATGTATGTATATGTGGCCAAACCTGCTTGTTAAAGCCTAGTACTTTGACTGGAGACCACAGTGTAGCACCTGTGGTAAAAACTGCCATTGTGTCCTTAGGCAAGACACTTTACCCACATTGCCTAGTATGAAAGTGGTATAAGTGTGTGAGTGTTGGTGGTGGTTGGAGAGGCTGATTGCGCAGATTGGCAGCCTTGCATGTCCCAGGCAGCTGTGGCTACAATAGTATCTTACCATCACTGAGTTTGAAGTGAATGAATACTGCACTAAAAGCTCTTTGGGAGTCTTAAGAGGCGCATTATAAATCCAGTGGATGATTAATTAATTAAAAATCATTAGATCGAGCTTTTCAAAAAATGCTATGTATGACAAACTTGTACTACCAGAACATACATATCCTTCTGTAGTTACGGTGAATAGTTTACTTAAAAAGACAGTATAAATAAAAAGCTTTGAGCTATACAGTGGTGTTGACATAGTAATAGTAGTTATGGTAGTAGTAGTAGTGTTAGTAGGTGTTGTAGTACTGGAAGATGTTGTAATTGCTGACACTAAAAGTAACATCAACAGTTGTAACAATAATACTGGAAGTAGATGTAGTAGTAGCAGTAGTAGTAGTAGTAGTTGTAGTAATAAGTGCAGTTTTAGGCCATGGATGGTATGGTAATTGTAGGCAGTTTGTAACATGGTAAGAGTAAGTTCTATTGCTTTAGTTGTAGTAGTAGTAGTAGTAGTAAGTAGTAGTACCAGTAGTAGCGTAGCATGAATCTCAAGAACTAAAACTACTTTTGGTTCAATCACAACATTTTGAATATAGCTTTTTAATGAACACAAATCTGTCTTATTTTATTGCTTTAATTTTCTCCAGTTAAGTTACAATTACTGTCCCATTGTAAACCTAGTCTGTCTGCCACCCATGACTCCAGCTTCTTCTGTAATACTCGTGCCATATTGAATTGTATTTTACACTTCACTTTGGCAGTAAAATGGACTGTTTTTTACTGAAGGAGGAGCTGCACTTCTTTAACCTCCAGTGGGCGCTCTGCCAGCTGTTGCATGTGGTTTTGGTTAGAGACTAGAGACCAGACTTTTATTAAGTACAAGCTCACCACACACACTCAAATATATTCAGATGGAGAAGAAGATGTCCATTTGATTTGAAGCAGAAATAGCCTGAAATGACATTATTTTAAAAGAATTCTCTAGACACAAAGAAAGCCCCAAAAGTAGGACAAACCACCAATGTTTTGTCTGTAATGGTTATGAGAGAGACAGGCATAAAGACTTAGTGAAAACCACATTAAAAGTGTCTATGTGGCTTTTCTATTGAAGGCTCTGCCACCTGCTGGTCACCGTGGAGCTGTTTCTGTTTTGGAGACAAGCAGGTGATGCCACTATATAGGTCAAGTTACAGGTTAGATCTGTGGAGAGACAACCCCACTCATAGTAAGAATATGTGTTTTTCAAGGCAGCTTTAGCAGTAAAAGCATCCAAAATAAAGTAATGCAAGGTAGATAAGTTACATGTCATACTGTGGGACATTCCAGGCAAAGCAGTAACATCGCTACGGCAACAGTGATCCCCCCACCAGAAAAGTTACATACATTCGCAACCAAAGTCAATAGACATTATTTGTAAATCACAAAATAAAGGTGGATTTGAGCCTTATTGAACATTACTGAGGATAGTTTATTGTTGACTGAGTGATTGTCACTCAATGAACAAATAGTATTACTGAAGTTTGTGCTTCTGTTTTATACAGTCTCTTGGCCAGGTCGTCATTGTAAATGAGAAGGTATTCTCAGCTGACCTGGTAAAATATTGAATAAATAAATTAAAAAGTTTTAAACAATGAAAAACAGTCATTGAACCAGCAATAAAAGGTATCCATAAGTCACCTATTTAGACATTAAATCTGGTCCTGTATATTGCAGACCTACACACAGATCGTGACAAGGCGAACCAAAAAAAAATTCTTGCAACCCACCTGAGGGTCACGCTCCAGTCTTTGGGAAACACTGTTTTAAAGTGTAATTTTAAACAGGTATAGTTTTGTGTTGAATTTCGTGTCCTTTACAAAGTGTCCTTTGTAAATCATCTATTGTCATCAACCCAAGCCTATGCAACCATAAAAACATGAATTCAATAACAAAAGCACATGTCAATACAGTAAATATTGACATGTTAGAATAGCTGGTCTCACTACAGTCTGAAGTAAAGCTTTTATATTACGTAAAATAGTTTCTTCTTAAATGAAAAATAAGACCAACATTGCACTCATTATGCGGGTGAAAAACACCAGATCCAATTCTAATAAAGACCAACCAACTACCATATCTAGAATCTAAGAGCCACTGTGGATTAAACCTGCACTTCCCCATGATCCAGCCAACGTCTTCCTCCACTCTACTGATTGTTTATGCATTGTCGCCAGCACCAGAAACCAAAGTATTGTTTGCGCATACTCCAAATTGGATGTTCATTTCATGTTGTTGTTTTGTTTTTCTCCCTCCGTTTAACATTGCACTGAGTATACAAAAAAATAGGCTACTGAAATTTAACACCTTTGTGAAAAAAATAAGACTTGGACAACATAATTTAAGACTTTTTAAGTGCTTAATTTAGGAACATGAAATTTAAGACATTTTTAAGACTTTTAAGACCCCGCAGCTACCCTGATAATCTAAAAACTATAAAAACTTTCTCTTTGTAGGAGCAGTCCGTTAATATCCCCTCCTCTTCTGTAATATATTTAAGGGAGGAGATGGGGTGATATTTATTCCTTAAAAATACTGACCCCTAGTGGCCTGAATCATGAATATGAAATGAAACACTTCTTGTAATGTTATAATGTTATATTTATTTCTAATGTAATTTACTTGCCAGATGATAACATATGATTGATGGACTATGAACTAATATCTTATGTTATATGATGTACAGTGTATATTATGTTATATATTGTGTTGTGTGAACATCTCCTATGGCTCATTTTTTCATATGGGAGTGGCACACAGAGAGAACCATGACCTGATGAAGATAAATAATAAATAATAATGCATCAGTTTTATACAGCGCTTTTCTGGACACTCAAAGACTCTTAAAGATCCATTTATTAAAAGCAGTTTGGGAGTAAGTGTGCAGGCTTTGGCACCAGTGATATATGCCTGTACCATTTTTGTGCTAAAATGACAAGTTCAGGTATGTTTGTAATAAGGAAACAACATTATAATAGAGATCAGAAAGTAGCGTCATAAGAGTGCTTTAACTTTACGTTCTTTCTCGCTAAAAACATAACTACATTTTGTTTTATTCTGTTTCTGTAGAACATTGACATCCAGAACTTCTCGTCCAGCTGGAGTGATGGGATGGCCTTCTGCGCTCTGGTCCACTCCTTCTTCCCCACAGAGTTTGACTACACAGCCCTGTCTCCTGCCAACAGAAAATACAACTTTGAACTGGCCTTTGGGACTGCAGAGTGAGTCAAGAATGAGCACTGGAAATTTACCTTTACATATTCATTAGTTATTAGCAGTCGTGAAATGTAACAAAATACAAAAGTAGAAGTACAAATTTTAGGTATCTGTACTTTACTGAAGTCAGTTTTACAGTGGATATTTTATACTTTTACTGTACTTCACTACATCAGAGAACATGTGTCTGTACTTTGTCCTCCACTACATTTAAACCTGGACTCAAAAGTAAAAAGTACTATTTCTTTTAGCACATTATATTTGAGTTAACGTCCCAAATTTGAGCAAACCAAATACACAAAAGTAGCTAGACAACAGTAAGAAAAAAATGGAATCACTTAAAATCAACAAAATTCTTTTTCAAAATCACTTAAATAGAACTTTCTACTTTTTGTAAATTTCAACATATTTTTCAACTGTTCTTCACAAATCGCTTTGTGATTGGACTGAAACTATAATTTATATTTACAACAGGTAAACAGTTACACATTTTAAAGGTGCATTAAGTAACTTCTTGGTGGATGGTCCATTACTTGCTTGTTTCTATGGATATATTACTGCTCTGCCTGGAATGTTCCATGGTATGACATTAAACAACTCAAAATACCTAGAAAAACAAACATTGTGACTGCCAGCGGGGTTGCCTCTCGACAGATCTGACCTGGAACTTGACCTGGAACCTCTCTACTTCCTGTCATTTTCAACATATTTTTAAACTTTTCTTCACAAATCTCTTCTTAATTGGTGTAAAAGTATAATTTATATTTACAACAGGTATCATCCCACTTAACTAAGTAAAAATATGAGAATAATAAAAAACACTTTATGACATTAAACAACTCAAAACACCTAGAAAAACAAACATTCTGACTGTGCTTGTTTCTATGGATATGTCTTTGCTTTGCTTGGAATGTTCCACAGTATGACATTAAACAACTCTACTTTACATTTATTCAATTACAGGTGGTTTTATAGCTCAAAAATACCTAGAAACACAGACATTCTGACTGTGAGCGGGGTCGCCTCTCCACAAATCTGACCTGTAACTTGACCTGGTTTGGTCTCCATGAAGATAAAAATGTTTAATGTCATACTGTGAAACATTCCAGACAAAGCAGTAACGTCTCCATGGACAAAAGCATTTGACGGACCCTCCACTAGAAAAGTTACACAATGCATCTTTAAGGTTTGGTATAGGGTTACGTCTCTGTAGCTTTCTTTTTATTAGTAAAGAGGTTTGAGTTCAAATATGCATTGAAAATATCAGGCCATTGTCTCTGTGCCATACCCCTCAATCGCAGATGCTGACCCCTGTAACCTCCAGTGACCCTAAAAGATCAAATAAGTGAATAATAGGTCATAGGTCACAGCCTGTGTTTAAGCCTTACCCTGGATTAACACTTGTGCTTCCTATAGGGTCATAACGTGTGATAATGCAGCGGCAGATTAAGCTGATTTGACTCGCTGTAATATTCCCTTTGGTCCAGCGCTTCAATCCTCGGTCACTGGTCTTAAAGAGATCACACATACACTACTTATATCTGTACAAATCTATATGTTTATTACATATGTAGAGCCAGGGCCTAAGCTGCAAAACATGTTTGTTGGAACCGAGTCAATGTTTTTAGCTGGAGATATTTTCAAGATGCATGTTAAAGGGCCCATAGGACGTTATGTTATAATGGTGTTTTCTGATGTCAAACAGACCTGGAGTTGTGTTTTGTTTCATTCACACATGTTTAATACACAAATCTTGCATCTTTACAGGGAGTTTTTCTCTCAAACTGAAAACATGCACCATACAAGTTCACTAGAGTTTTTTTTATTTTTTTTTTTATTGGACTGCCCCTTGAGATGTGCCATCTCATTTTCGAGGGGGTCCAAAAAACATACAATATTAGTAATACACAATACAATACAATACAGTACAATACTAAACAATAGACACAATACAAAACTTACACACACGGGCATACATACATACACACAGACAGACAGACAGACAGACTTTTGAATTTGGATCATTTCAGCCCTGGAATGCCAGTCTACTGAACTAAAGGTAGAAAGAGCTGTTAACTTGAAAATGACCACTACATAACATCACAAAGTGGAACACAGCATTCTGATCTTTGGAGATGTAGACAGATAATAAAGGGTCTTTAAGGGTTACTGAGACATATGTGAATGAAACAAACCACAAGTCCACATATGTTTTTGAGGTAACAACATTCTAACATGGCTTAAAGCTCTCAAGAGTCACTTTTGCAAAACATAGGACTTGTAAACAACAACAGGGAGGGTATCAAGAAAGTGCTATAAATACCCTCAAACCCAGACAGTTCAAATTTCTAATTTAGTCTAAAAATATAAATAAAAATTAATATTTATTTCTGATTACGGCATTCAATAAAAGGACTAATACACTGCATACATACAGACATACAGTGCATACATGGTTTACAGTAGTGTTTTCCAATTTTTTTTTCTGGGGATCCATATTTTAAAAGTCACAAACTTTGCAACCATAATAATGGCAATAAACATTATTCGTAAATCACAAAATAAAGGTGAGGGATTGTGTCTCTGAACAATTAGTATTACTTAAGATTTAAACTATGAAAAACAATCAGGGAAGCAGCAATAAAAGGATCCATAAGTCGCCTATTTTGCCTATTTTAGCCAATTGCTTTTTCTTTTCAACATTCAATTGAACCAGCAATATTGGAACAAAATACTCACTCGCTCTCTCGTGTCAGAATTGTATATTGCGACCCTAAAAAAAAAAATCTCTTGCAACCCACCTGAGAAACAATGGTTTACAGTACTTCAGTTTTTGTCACTTTGGGGCCAATCGCTCAAACCATTTTAATGAAGTTATATTAATAAATGAACAGGAGTAAGCAGAGAGAAGATTGTAAAAATCAAACAAAAATATAAAAGAACCTTTAGTGAGTGAAGTGTGTTGCCTTAGGACACAACAACTAGAGCTATTGCTATGTTGCATATCACTGTTATGAACCTGATATTAAAGACTGTAAGTACTAATATTATTTTGTGTGCTTCTTTCAGAGCCAAAGCTGGTTGTGACCGTCTGATCGAAGTGGACGACATGATGATAATGGGCCGTAAACCTGACCCCATGTGTGTGTTCACCTACGTCCAGTCTCTGTACAACCACCTGCGCAAGTTCGAGTGACCCTCCTCCACCCAAAAAACACACGATCACAGCCGCAGAAGGAGGTCGAGAACAGTGTGGGCGCTCCATGAAAAACAATACTGCCTCCTAGTGGTGACTTTGTACACTTACAGGCACTGACAATTTTTGTACTGTTGAAATAAGAGCGGGGGATATGGCAAAAAATAACATGACGACCTTCTTGGATACAGATTACAATTTCTATTTTTATTCCTATCATGTACACTTTTTTGTATTTTCTATTGCATTTAAAGCTGCACTGTGTAACTTTTCTAGTGATGTCGTGTTCATGGAGAAATCACCTGGGATGTTCCATAGTAGTTACGCTTATTTATCTCTACGGAGACAACAGTTACATGTCAGATCTGTGGAGAGACGAGCCTACTCACAGTAAGAACGCAAGATTTTAGGTTAATAAAAACACATGCTATTGAGTAAATGCAAAGTGGATATGTTTAAAATCCTATCAGGACATTCCAGATAAAGCAACAACATCTCCATGGAGACAGGATCTACAAGAAAAGTTACACATTGCACCTTAATTATATCCAGCAGTCTCACACTCAGAGCTTTAAAGAGACTGGATCACAACAACAGATCGTCAGAAAGAGATTCAATTTGTATCACCATATCGCCCGGCCCTATGTTGAGGTAGGCAAATATAAATATAAGTATACTGTATATGCTGTGTCTGCTACATTGACTTTGTACTATAGCCATGCAAATTTGTTAACAAGTTGCTGAAGTCAATAAAAAGGGGTTGTGGCAATTTGTACATCTGCCTATACATTGTCAATGGTGGCTTTATTTTTTATTTAAAGGGCTATTTTCCGATCTATGTTATAATGTTATTAATGTTTCCTCATCAAAAATGTACCTGGAGTTGTGTTTTGTTTTTGTTTTTCATTTAACACTCAAATGCTGCAGATTTAGGCTGAGTTCTTCTCTCAAACTGAAATCAACATTTGGATATTTTAAGTAACTACCACTTCATGACTTCGCAAGGTGGAACAGAGCATTTTGAGCTTTGGAGGTGTAAACAAGAGACTAATAATAAAGGGTTAGTCAAACATGTGTGAATGAAACAAAACACAACTCCAGGTCTGTTTTTGAGGAGGTAACAACGACTTAAAGCTCGGAAGAGTCAATTTTGCGTAATATAGGACTTTTAACCTTTATTGAGATAAGACCGGAACTCCATTATTAAATATTATTCTTTTTTTTGTGTGCGTGTGTGTGTGTGTTATTGAGTGTTCAAGGCCTATAAAGATTGATGTATTATTATTGACTGAGGGTGTGTGTTATTTGTGTGTGTGTGAGGCTTATACCGTGTATGAGTCTACTTTGAGTAAATCTATGGTCACTTTTGATTTTATTATTGTTTCACTGGTAGACTATGTGTGTGTACTATAACATGCCGATGTAAAAATATACAGTATGGTGTGATGTTAAGCTTTTAAATAAATAAATAAAATGACGTTTAAACACATATCACTGTCTGCTGTCTGAGTACCAGGAGTGGGAAGTGGGTAGTACTTTTCTACCTGCATACTTTTACTTCTATTCCTGTTTTTATTGAAGTAACAGTAGAGCTTATTGTAATATTATGGATGTGTAACAGTACTCTTACTTGAGTACAAATGTTGCTACCTACCAGGCCCGTTGACAGAAATTTGGGGACCAGGGGCAAGAAGCTTTACATGGGCCCCCTCTAATATAAATTCAGAGAAAGAGGGTTCAGTTCTGGGCCCCTTAAAGCCTGGGGCCCTGGACAACAGACCCCCTTGCCCCCTTCCTGTCTCCTGCCCTGCTCCCTACTGTGAGTAAGTGACAAAAACTTTATGTTGACAATGAGAAATGATATAAACATTTGTGTTTCTTGCACTGCTCCTTCCGCTATGATGTTTTGTTTTTTATTCTCGTTCTATCCTTTGAAAATACCAGATTTGGTGCTTTATTTAATGTTTTGTCAGTCCAATTACACGAACTTCTATCTATAAATCAAATGTCAGATCAGATCAGAAGTTCTCTTACTTGAGTAGTACTTTTCCCAAAATACCCTTTTACTCCTACTTAACTAATTACTTGGATTACTATTTTGCACTCCTACTTAAGTATGATTTTAAAGTAACATTCATTTTTGGCTTTTTTGGCTTTTCTACTCACCTCTTCTGAATATTAATAGATCACTTACCACTACTTTGTCTTGCATCAGTTCCTGGACTTTGTGGAACATTTTTGTTTTGAGTTTGCATGTTCTCCATGTGTCTGGGTGGCTTTTTCGGGAACTCAAGCCAAGTCCTAGCTCAAAATCCCACAGCTCCTGAAAGATCAAGAGCACTAGTTGAAGGATGGGTCAAATACATCAGTGCAAAATTGACTATGGGAAAGATATAGTCCAAAACATAATAATAAAGAAATAAATGAAAATTAAAAAAATAACCTTTGCTATGGCAATCAGGTACACTTGAATAAAATCCTTCAATATTAGACCCAGGACATGGTTCAAAGTTAAGATATGGGTGATTTAAGTTAAGGTTATAGTTTAAGTTAAAGGTGTACTGTGTAATTTTTCTAGCGGATGATCCTCCACCTACTTGTCTTCATGGAGATGGTGGTTACTGTTTGTCTGGAATATCCTGGTATGGTATTAAACTTATCCCTTTTACATTTATTCAGTAACATGGACTTTTATTTACTTAAAGACTTGCATTCTTACGGTGAATGGACTCGCCTCTCCATAGATCTGACATGTAACTTGGCCCTGTGGCATCACCTGTTGTCTGCATAGAGATAAATGTTGCGTGAGCCAAGTGAGCCGATGTGTCTTTTATTTATTTTACTTATTTACTGCTATTTGGTGATTTTTATGGTTTGGTTTTTATCAGATTTTAGTGGTTTTATTGTTTTAGGACTTTTGTGACCAAATTTTTGCAATTTACCTTTTTGTTGTCTTCATTTTGCGATGTCTGTGCAGCACTTTGGAAACTGCTTTATTTGTAAAATGTGCTATAGAGATAAAGTGGATTTGGATTTGGATAAATAATTATAATGTCACACTGTGGAACACTCCAGGCAACATCTCCATAGAGAGAAGCAGGTGAGGGACCCTCCACCAGAAATGTTACACAGTGCACCTTTAAAGTACTAGGTGTAAGAAGAAAATAAACAAAGGATAATATTCGTATAGTTATTGATACTAGAGTGCAGAGCGTTTCCACAACAGGATTATAAGCCATATGCTGCTGTTATGTGATTAAAGTTTGTTTACGGTACTTTCAGCAGAACTCGGAGTTGAACCTTTGACCCCAGAAGCACCCTTTTCCCTCTCTAGGTCAAAACAGCACTAAAGAGGAGTGGGGAGGGGCCAGTAGTCCGATGAGGATCTGAAGAGACTTACTATACCGAGAAATACAGCAGATTAATACAAAGCCGCAACAGGAATCAATAAAAATAAGTTATGGAAGGGCATCTGGAATAAACAACAAGTCTGAGCTATAGTTTGTGTGGAAAATACTGTACATGAACACAGCAATGGCATTTTAAAGACGCAATGTGTAACTTTTCAGAAGGAGGGTACCTATATGGAGATTGCTTTGCGTGGAATATTCAACAGTACTTTTCCTTCATTCAGCTATAGGTTCTTCTTCTTACTGTGAGTGGGCTCGCCTTTCCACAGATCTATTTCTCCTTGGCTACAAGCAGAAGCCAAGTACAGAAAGCGTCTATCAAATTCAACTGGTGATACTTAACCACCTTGTAATGTAGGTCATATATGTTATTTTTATTTTTATCTCTGGGTCTTTTTATATCATATCAGTGGTGGAAGGTAAAGTACAATTTTTATGATATGATAAATGATGATGGTGAATATAATATTAGTTTAAGTATAGGGACTAAAAATGTTTATTTAAAAATGGGAAAGGAAAAAAAAAGGAAGAAAGAGATAGAAAAGGAATTTGAATTGGCTGTTTATGTTGCACACCACATTACTTTTGTTTAATTTTACCAAATTTGTGTCGATGTGTGTCGTCGAGGGGAAATTTTTTGTTGTTTTGTATTTGTTGTTGGTGTTGTGGGTGTTGCTTTATGTTTTTATGTTTTGTTTTATGTTGATTATTGTAATTTGTTAAATGTTGATTATTGTGTTTTGTTAAATGTTATATTCTCTTGTCCTTAATTTTAAAAAGTACAATATTTAGGTATTTGTACTTTACTTAAGTAGATTTTACAGTGGATACTTTTTACTTTTACTTCATTACATTAGAGAGCGTGTATCTGTACTTTCTACTCCACTACATTTTAGATTTGGACTGAAAAGTAAAAAGTACTTATTATACTTTTAAACTGAGTTTCTGTCTCAATTTTCAATAAACTAAATACATAAAAAAAAAACACAAAAACAGCTAGAAAATGAACAGATCTATTGAATCACTTAAAATTAGCTGAATTCTTTACCAAAATCATTACATTTCAATTAATTGTTGTAAAAATCTTTGTAAAATTCTACATTACGTTTTACACTTTAAGTAAATTGTTAAACAGGTACTTCAGTATTTTTACTTACATCGATTTTTCATATTATATTTTTATTTATACTTGAGTTGGGGTTTTTTGTTTTGTTTTGGTTTGTGTTTTTTTTTTTTTTGCCCCTGTATCTGTACTTTTACTTAAGTAACAAAACTGAGTACTTCATCCATCACTGTATTTATTATATTACATGTTGTACTTTTCTTTATTTTATTCTACTCTACTGTGCCCTCTTATGTTCTATTAGAAAACCACATGCTGGAAAAACAAATACAAAATGGTAAATAACACCTGGATTAGTTGTGTGTGGGGCAGGGTCAGCGCTGATGGGGGCTGATGGGTGCTCATGGGTGGGGCGTCCCATGGGTGGGTGGGGGGTATAAAGCAGGTCCCATCGTCCTCTTCTTCACTTCTGTCAGGTCTGAGATGGCTCTGTTCACGCACTCGGACTTCCCTGGACTCAAACCGAACCCGACCAAGGACCAGCTGGACCTCAAGATGATCTATGGAGAAGAAACATGCAAAGGTATGAAATTCATTTAGAAACGGCGTCTTTAATATTAAAAGAAAATAGAATTAAAGCTTAAATATTATGTTTTTAAGGTGCACTATGTAACTTTTGGGTTAGGGGTCCATCACCTGCTTGTTTCTATGGATACATCATTGCTCTGCCTGGAATACTCCACAGTATGACATTAAACAGCTCTATCAATTTTTATTTTTTTTAATTGCAGGTGGTTTTATAGCTCAAAAAATAACCAGAAAAAAACATTCTGACTGTGAGCGGGGTCGCCTCTCCACAGATCTGACCTGTAACTTGGTCTGGTTTGGTTTCCATGAAGGCAGAAAGATTTAATGCCACACTGTGAAACATTCCAGACAAAGCAATACGATTTCCACAGAGAAAAACATTTAAGGAACCCTCCACCAGAAAAGTTTTACAATGCACTTTTAAGTAACTTTGAAGAAAAAAACAAACAAAAATTTACATTAAAGGTGCACTGTGTAACCTGTCTTGGTCCATCATCTGCTTGTCTCCATGGAGATGTGCCTTGCAAGTCAAATAACAGGTTAGATCTGTGGAGAGGCGACCCCACTCACAGTCAAAACTTATATTTTTGAGCAATAAATAACACCTGTAGTTGGATAAATATAAATTCAAGACAGATTAGTTTAATGTTATACTGTGGACAAAAGTGTTAACATCTCCATGGAGACAAAAAGTTGCGGACCCGCTCCAGAAAAGTTACACAGTGTACCTTTAAAAGAGCATTACAATTTTGATCTCTGTTAAAAGTATTATTATTGGAAACAAAAATCACTTAAATTTGCATTGTATGTTTTTATGAAGTTGGTATTATTTTAGAACAGTGTTTCTCAAACTGGGGTACATGTACAATATTCATTTAAATTAGAGATAAACTTAAGTATTCTCTTCCTATGTGCTTAATACTTTTTTAGAACTCACTATCCTTGGTCCAGTCCTTAGCCCGCTTTAGACCTGATGTAGTGCAGCTCTGGCAGTACTCATGAAGTCATATTATTACAGTAATATTATCTGAGGTCTCACATGCACTGACTTGACTCCTGCTCTGGCCTTATCCCAGTAGAGGAGGAGGGGGGCTGTCCTGGGGCCTCTCAGGAGCCCATGGTGCTTCTGGACGGACAGAGGAAGAGGAAGAGGACCATCTTCAGCAGAGCCCAGCTGTCTGAACTGGAGCAGGCGTTCGCTGTGACGCCGTACCCGGATATCACACTGAGGGAGCGACTGGCGGCTCACACACACCTGCCCGAGAGCAAGATACAGGTCAGACTCGCCATTACAGCACATTTATTTACTATTGGTTGTATTTATTTTGTGATGGGGGTGGAAAAAGCACTCAGTTTTGTTATTTAAGTAAAAGTACAGACACTGGAGCAAAAAGTTATTTAAGTAAAAATGGGCATATCACATGAAATAAAATCTACTAAAGTAAAACTATTAATGTACCACTGTAAAAATGTACTTAAAGAGTAAAAAGTAAAAGTATTTCACACAGATTTTGAGATCAAACAAAGCTTCAAATGTTGTGATTTTGATACATATTTGTGTTGAAATTTATTTACCAGAAATAATTGTATAAGTGATCATTTTTTAGCCATTTTATTGCTGCAAAAATAATTGCTGTTAAAAATAAACCATAAGCCGTTTCAGCAGGTTTCAAACTATTGTAAAAAATACTTTTACTTTTCAGTTAAAATGTAAATTGAATATAAAGTACAGATACCTGCTCTCAAATGTAGTGAAGTAAAAAATATTCATGTTAAAATGCACTAAAGTAAAGTACCGGTACATAAAATGTATACTTAAGTACACTACTTTACTACTTTTACTTCGATATGTTGCACCATTGACTAGGGCTGGACTTTTTGGGAAAAACAATAAATTGCAACATTTCTGACAAGTATTGAGCTTGTGATTAGATTTGTGATTTGTTTTAATAATAAGATACTAAAAAGTTCACATTTTAAACGCGTCCAGAAGAATTGACTGACAAGCAAACACAAGAATCACATTTCAGAACACGTTTGTACAGAAAATACAGGTTTTTATGTGATATAACACAGACTGTTGTGTTTGTGGAGGAAATTGTACTTAAAAGTGTGCAGCCTTTATAATTTGCAAATTGCGTCCATTTAAAGTGTCATTTCGATTTGAACAGAAATAAAGCAAACACAGGTTTCACAGCTCTTGTCAGTTGGACAGATGTGCTCCTTGTAATGTTCTAATCCAGTCCACATTCATTACGTTTTCTGGAAAGGCCCTTATAATCTCATCATATTTAATACTACAATATTTAATCTGATCCTTTTGAAGTAACCTGCACTACATGGACAATACAAGTACTTTTCACACACAATAGAATCAATGTATCACATGTATCACATCAATGTCATCATTTGTTCATTTGAATAGTTGAACAGGTAAAAGAAACCTCTCAAACACTTCTCAGTTTTCAAGTAGAACTCTTTTTAAACTCCTATTTTTGAGGTCGTACATACAACTACAGCTACATGGACCATACCAGTCATACTATAGAGTTCATGCATCAGTTTTGTCATTTGAATTGTTGAACAGGTAAAAAAAAATCTTACTTACACTTTTTAGTTTTCAAGTAAATGAGAAGGAATCAGTCATTTATTTTGACTTTTAAATTTTCACTTACCTACATTCACTTAAAAGGTGCACTGTGTAACTTTCCTTGTGGAGGGTCCTTCAAATGCTTTTCTCCGTGGAGATGTTTTTGCGTGATCTGGTTTGGTCTCTTAGCCTGATTCTTAGCTGGTTTCACTTCGTAGAAACCGTCTGACCTCACAGTGTTAGAATTTGTTTGCTTGAAGGTAGATGGGTACTTTTTATCATTTAACCAGTCGCTGCTGTTTGGTCGTGATGTATGTAATGCACCACTAATGGGGTTAACTGGTATATTAAGCTTTTCACAAATTCCGTAGGAAGAAGGACAATAATGTCTTTTTCCTTGATGAAATTCACCAAACATTCTCTTGTTCCGGCTTTAAATCCTCGATCTCAGGAATTGTTGCCAACACAGAATGTCTGGCTCTTCTCTGATTGGCTGGTGCCCGAACTCGCACTTCAGGGGCTTTTGCAAACCGTCTAGTTTATTCTGATTCCTGACCTAGTCGCTGGAGAGAAATGAAACTTAGCGGTGGCACTAGGTGGCGCCAGCCTGGCTAATGGTCTCTATGGTAATAGAAAGGTCAGATCTGTGGAGAGGCAACCCTTCTCAAAGTTAGAATAAGTGTTTTTCTAGAAATTTTTGTGGAACATGCCAGGTAGGGCAACGACATCTGGCCAACCTGGTGCCACCTAATGCCTTCGTTCAGTTTAATTTCTCTCCAACAACTAGGTCAGGAATCGGAATACAATGGATGGTTTGCAAGAACCCTGGAAGTTGTAGACAGCGCACCAGCCAAGTCTGCAGAGAGCTGTGAAGCCAGTAATTACTTGGACAACACTGAGCGTTCTGGTGCATTACATATATCTCAACCAAATAGCAGCAACTGGTTAAATAAAAAAAGTACCCACCTACTGTTGAGCGAACAAATCATAATGAGAGGTCAGACGGTTTCCACGAAGTGAAACCGGCAGATGAATCAGGCTAGACATACCCATAGACAACCAAACAATTTCATAGTGCATCTTTAATGTCACACCACTGATGATTATTTGTGTCTTTCAGGTCTGGTTTCAAAACAGAAGAGCTCGGAGTATAAAAACTGGCCGCTTGTATAAGTCCACCAAGTCCCTTCAGGGAGGAGGCAGGGGTCCCGTTATGGAGAACTGCCCCATGCCAGCCACGTTCTCTTCTTCTACCTCCTTCTCCGACATTCTGAGACCGGACCAAACCTACAACTGCGACGAAGTACCCCAGATATACTCCGACTGGATACATGTACACAACAACACGATATCCTCTCCTCCGTCTTACCACCAGCATCAGCCCCAGCCCTCTCTGAGCAACCCCAAAAACGACTGTCGATTCTGGGATGAAGAACACCAACAAAGGTCTAGCATGGGACCCCAGATTTCAGCATTTTTGCCCAATTCGTTCGCTCAAACCATAAGACCGAACCACCATCCCGCAACTTCTAACAGACAATATCCGAGCTTCAGAAAGCCTCATAATCTGGTGCATAACGGGGTGTCTTACGGAGCGATAGGCGGCGGAGGGGGTGCGGGGGTGGACCAAGTCGTACCCACGCACCCGCAGACCGTTTTTTGGGACCAGGGACCTCACCCGTACAATCACCATCCGCAAATGGGACCCCCCACGTCAATGGGGTACATCTCAGATCTGATTTACAACGCGGCGATTGTCACGAACTTCCTGGAGTTTTAAGGAACTTTGATTAAAAACTTGGACTTGAACTTTGGACTTTATAACGTGTTTGGTGTCACAATGATACAGATTTTCAACTCAATTTCAATACTAAGGAAAAGGGTCATTACTCAGTACCAATGTTGATCTCTTTTGAACAATAGAATGTCATTTTCAACACAAAATATTGCTTCTTATACCATTCTAACTTATTCTAGTTTCGATCATTTTCCAGATAATTATAAAGCCATTGCAGGTCCTATATTTTGCAAAATTTAAGCCATGTTAGAATGTTGTTACCTCCTCAAAAACAGACCTGGAGTTGTGTTTTATTTCATTCACACATGTTTGAGTTTCTTTATTATTAGTCTGTCTACATCTCCAAAGCTCAAAATGCTCTTTTCCACCTTGTGATGTCATGAAGTGAAGTGGCAGCTTTCAAGTTAACAGCTACATTTGACCTTTTTATCAGTAAAGATTTTCATTCAAATGTTGAAATTATCCAAATGATTCTAGTGAAGGTGTATGGAGTTTAAAAACACAACTTCCTGTATCACCACATGACATCATAAGCTGGAACAAAGTGTTTTCTATTTGAGAGAAGAGCTCAGCCTAAATATATACAAGGTTTGTGTGTTAAATGTGCGTGAATGGTCTGTTTGTGATGAGGAAACAACATTATAACATAGATCATAAAAAGGCATAATATTAAAATTTAAATAAAATTCCAATTCTGTCTTTCTGTTATTTATACATATTGTCAGAATCAATACTTGTTCACTTTTGTTTTGATAGTTTTGATTTTGTTGATGATATAATGCAATGGAAACAGAATAAAATCTCATATTCTTGCCCAATATTCCTTCACATTTTGGCTTTATTGATATTATATTCTCTTGCTGGCTTACTCACACAAAAATACCTTGTTTTTCATTAAATTATTAAATTACTGTTGTATATTTTTGTTAGTCTACTTCAAAACTTACTTGCAAAATCAGTTTCTTTATTTTCAGTGACAACAAAGATACACGGCAAAGTTAAAGGTGCATCGTGTTGGTCCGTCAAATGTTTTTCTCCATGGAGATGTTACTGTGTTGTCTGAAATGTTTCACAGTGTGGCATTAAACCTTTCTATCTTCATGGAGACCAAACTAGACCAAGTTACAGGGCAGATTTGTGGAGTGGTGACCCTGCTCACAGTCAGAATGCTGTTTTTCTAGGTATTTTTGAGCCACCTGTAATTGAATAAATGTAATAATGCCATACTGTGGAACATTTCAGGCAGAGGAATGACATCTCCATAGAAACAAGCATGTGACGGACACCCAAACAAAAAGTTACATGATGCACCTTTAAGATTTTCATGGGAATTCGATCTGATGCTCCTTGAATGTTACAGGGCAAACTGCATGTTTCATAGTTTGGTGACTGTTTCTTACTTTTTTTAAACATTTATTTAGCTTTTATTTTACTTTATTACATTGTTGAGCATTAAATTTCACAGAAAATACATGCTTTTGTTCACAGTCCATAGTCTGTTGTTCTGTTTTTAATACTTTGACCTCTTTGTAAACATCTCGATTAAACTGAATCCTGTAATAAGAAGATACCATGACAAGAATAATGATTTTCTGATTCAAATATATTTTTCACATCCCTGAACTGTAAGTAACAGATCTGACAGAAGGAAGAAAAATAAAATTAAACCAAAGCCTACCTCTATCAGCTTACAGTCGGATTTAACTTCAGAAATATTACAGAGACGCAGCAGTGGACAGTGATCTTTGCATATCATAATAATCTCTAATACAAAATAATCTTCCAATGAAGCTTTAATCCGGTGTCAAATCTCAGATCTTTGAAAAATACTTTTGTTTTCCAGATGTAGTTACATATTTAATCCCTCCTCTAATCTCACATAAAGGGGATGATTTCAATTTGGACTCGAAAATTAAAACATATTTACGTTTTTTACACATTGTAAAATATATGTGGGTATATAGAAGCTGTACTGGTCCTATGATACTAGTACTGTGCAGTATCTCAATGTTACTACAGTACAATATTGCAATATTCCTCCAAATACTCTTATGAGCCTTTTGTGCAATATTTATTATCACATTTTAAAGGTTTACAATGTTCGGTAGTGTGAACTAAGCAAAGCAATGCTACCTCCATTAGGGGTGTGCAAAAATATTGAAATATCGTATTGTTTAATGTGATGATAAAATATTGATATCGTGGGCTGCTGCATCAATATATCGCCAGGAGTATTTTTTTTATCTATTTTACTAAATAATTTTGTTACAGCTACAGTTTTGTTGCTTTTTCAGAGAAAGGAAATTTGTTTATGTGACACATTTGACATTTTCACTGTTTTGTTGATTAAAATGTTTGTGTTTCATATGAACTTTGCACAAGAAGTGGTTCAACAAAGACTTTTAGTATCACAGCCATTATTTAGCCTTTATTTTTTATTGAATTGTATCGAATCGATTTGAAATATCGTATTGAATCCTATCGAATTGAAAGCTCACTGTATCGAGATATGTATTGTATCGTGGTTGACCTCCTTACAGATGAGCAGGAGCTGTGTTGAGGAAAACAACCTTTTCCTCTCATGTTCATTAGTTTCTGCTTAGATAAAGAATACACTTGTAACAGAAATAAAGTCCAGATAATTTACTTATTCAATGAATAGAGAGCAATACTTGCACAAGGAGTGTGTGCTGATATTCCCACACAGAGATTCAATGTTTATGCCTATGCAATGACTTTTATACACAAACCATAGTTAGGGTAACAAGTTATGACATCATTTCATCAGTAGTTCTTGCCCTATGTGGTTAATTACCTGGTCCTCGAAGGGTTGACCAGGTTTTGTATTCACCCTGTGTGTCTGTCCACCCGCGATAATTCCACCATTTATGGACTGACTGTTACCAAATTTGGTATGTGGGTCAAGACCCCGTCCTTGATGCCGCAAAAAAAGTTTGGTGACGATCCAAGGTTATTTGAGGTCACATGGGTCAATTGAAAGGTCACGCTATCATAAAGGATAGGCAATTTGAGCAAATTCTGAATCATCTGTGGGCGAAAATATTCACCCAGTCATCACACAAGTTGGCACACATATAACCGGGGTACACTGGATGTTACAGGTTGAAACTGGTCAAGGTCACTTGAAGGTCAAGGTAACCAAGGTCAAATATGTGTTTTTGGTCATAACTCTGAAAGGATCAAGCTAGAGCAACAGGAGTGGTCTCAAAATCTCAGAAAAAATATCTATTTATAATTCTATAAATTTGTTTGCATTTGTTTAGTAAAATATTAATAGTTTTCAAGACAATCACTAATTATAACAGTTCCTTTCTCTTTCAGTTCCTTTCTGTTACAATTCTAAGTGGGACGAAAATAATTTCCATTTCTTCTTTTTCTGGTGATACACAACACACTGATCTACATTCACAGAACTAACATACACGCAACTCATGAAAAATGAGATTTTCCTTACACGCTAGTAAACAGACATTCTCATGTGAATATCATGCATTTGTTTTGACGTATATCTATGAGTCTCACGACTGTGATCCCTGATCTTCACATGATCTCAGTACAATAATGGTCTATAGATGTCATTATACAATATAGCTGAGCCTAGTTATTTATCCTAACAACTGACCTTTCTGTCTTTAATAGTGCAACAGTGATACGCTATAATGTCAATAACAGTACTATGTTTTTTTGTATTGGCTGCATGGAGAAAATAATCCTTTGCTTTAGTTTACTCCTCTGCAGTTAACCCAGTTAAAATTTTGAAAGCTTGCTCAGAGCTAATCAGCTAAGTGGTAACTAATGATCACAAGACCTGTTTCTTAAACTTTATAAACTGCCAAGTTAATAAAACATTTTGCAGGTCTTGTGTTTTTAGACTTAAAACAACCCTCTTATGAATATAGTCACAGATGAGCTCCATGGCATCTAGTTGATTATAATATTTGATATAGATTTAATATAATACAAAGTGGCCACAATGTAGTAAATGAATATGGGAGTGAAAGAGCACAGCTATGTAGTTCTAAAATGGGCAATCATCAACTATAGAAACAGCACTAGTCTCTAAAGGATTTGAACTATATACAAACTTTTATTCATTTCTCATTTTCATCAAAAACTGAAAGACAAAAACACACACTCATGACTTTATTTAAAATGATACAGATCAACATCACAGGGATTTAACACAATATACAAAACGTAAATATGAAATGAAAACAAAAAAGATAATTATTTTAAAGTAAACATGTTCAGGGAAACACAGAGACTTTTCACAAAATCAAAAGAGCAGAAAATGTCCACGTTAAGGTGATGTTTCAATGTCCATAAATAGCACTGCTGTTGAAATGCCCTTATTTCCTGCTATGGCTCCCCCAGTTCTCCCTCCATGGTTCGAACCAAGACGTACAGCTCGGCCAGACCCACTACAGAGGCTGCGATAACAGCTGCAATCACTCTCTGGAATTAAAATAGTAAGAATTAGAAGCTGCATTAAATATATGTTCCTTAAAGGTGTGCTGTGTAACTTTTCTGCTTTTCATCTTGTCTCCATGGTGATGTTATTGCTTTGCCTGGGATTAAACAAATATATATTGTATTTATTCAATTACAGATGTTTTTATTTCTCAAAACTACCACAAGAACATGCATTATTACCATGAGCTGGCCCTCTTCTCTACAGATCTGACTTGTAATTTGGCCTGCTGATGTGGCCTGCTTGTCTCCATGGAGATAGTTAAATTAAACGTCATACTGTAGAACACTCCAGGAAACAACAATAACCTCTACACAGAGTCAAGCAGGTGGCGGATCCTTTACCAGAAAAGTTACAAAATGCACTTTTAATGTTCTTTAATGATGTCAAAATAAATATATTATTAAAAAATTTTGTAATAATACATATTTTTAAAAAGATAATTGTTGTAGAAGCTTCAATATTGGATTTAAATGGACATATCATTAAAAAAATCTACTTATAGCTTTTTATTGTTGTGGACAGAAGGTAAGAAAAAAAGTGTATAAAATTTTGTTTTTCTGGTGTTAGTGCCACAATACAAGTGTGGTCACTCTTTCATAAGAATTGTACTATTTGTTTTCTTCAAGAGGCCTCCCTATAGATCAGCAATTTTTTTTTCCGTGGGGCCACAGGAGAAACAGAAAATACTGTGGAGGCCCGGGCCAAAATGTTTAACTCAATTCTGCATAATGTTAATTGTATTTCTTTATAAAAAGCAGTAAATAGCATTGTTTTGACGAGCTGGTAAGACTGGTAAGAGTTTATGTTATGAATAAGCAATGAAAAAGTGAGATTGCCTTACAAAAAATGTGTATGTGTATTTTGTAATTCTGAATTATCTTCAAAGGGCCGGTCAGAGTCAACCAAGTATGTGGCCTCGGAGCTGGACAATTCGCAGGCCTGCTATAGATCATATCAGTGTTATCTTACGTTTGCAGAGCTGTCCTTACCGAAGTGGTTTCAGTGAAGAGGTACTGGCTGCCCATGTAAGAACAGGCAAAAGTCGCTACAATTGTCACTAGGAAGTTAAAGACAGTCACTACAGCTGCTTTCACAGAGCGCACTACACACAAAAAACAAAAACATATCAACATTTGTAATGATATCTTGGATAATGGTCATTGTTTGTATTATTTATTTATTTTTTTTTGCAATAACCTTCTCGTCCAATTTCTGCCAGTCCTCCATTGCGACTCATTTCCTGTGGACGCAGAAATGCACAATTTAGTTGGGCTATTTGACAAGAAATGAATACATTTTTATACAACAAACAATTGTACCTGTGAATTGACATTTCTTGTCATTCGGTTGTACTCTTCATTTGCGAGTTTGGCTTTGATCTTTTCCAAACGTGCAACCAGCTCTGGGTTCTGTGACAAAAATAAATCAATAAATTGCATATTCTTGAGATTTTTTTAAATTTTGCATTTCACCAGATGAAACAATATCCAATTATTCCAAATTTGTGACACCATGACCAAATTACATAAGCCTAAAAGTAAATTGACTACACATTCTACTAAAGCACAGTTAAGAACATTATATTTAAAATTTTACAAAAAAATAAATAAATAAAAGTGCTTGTCGTTTTCCCCAGTTAGACATTTTTCTAAGGTTTAAAATGTTACTTGGTTGAACATCATGACATAAAGGTACAAATGGAAACTATAAACTGGAGAGAAACAAAGAATGAAGTGTAGCAAATAGTTTTCATACTGAATTACTTATTTTTCTGTTTTATTTTGACTTGTACATATACATTTATATAATTATGGCTTATTTGACACCAGTCTCTTGCTCTCTTTTTTGTTACGTATTTAGAATGTATTATTACCATTTATATTTTTTACTCTTTGTTATTATATTATATTGTGTTGATATTGTATTGAGTGAGCTACTGTGTCCAAATAATTTCCCTTGTGCATCAATAAAGTTTGTCTAAGTCTAAGTCTATACAAGTTTAAGGTGTTTTAGTCTACACCAAAAATGCATAATGTAAGCTGGTTGAGTTTTTAGTGTTCTATATATTTTGTTATATTAAAGTATTGATAAAAATGGAAGTAGGCTATATGATTTTTATTGAATTTGTCTCAATATGATTCTAAAATGCTATGACTGCATGCCACTGTAAAAAAAAAATAAAAATAAAAAAATAATTAAAAACAACAAAGTAGCCTGTTTAAGATTTCATTGGGCAAAAAAAATTAAATGTGTCTTGGGTGGAACATAGCCGAAAAATATTCAACACTAAAAGATTTCTTACAATTTTAGTTAAATTTTAGTTTTTTATATTAACATTGCCTATTGCCCTTTGGATCTATGTGGTTGTAGTCTATGTTTTGTTTTGTTTTGTAGTGTTGCAAAATGACCGAATAAACTACTACTACTACTACTACTACTACTACTACTACTACTACTACTACTACTACTACTACTACTACTACTACTACTAATACTAATACTAATACTAATACATATGTGGCTCTTATTTAATCTTACAGTTTTTTTTAAGTTTTTCTTTTAGTTTCCTTAGCAACTTAGACTTAGACAAACTTTATTGATCCACAAGGGAAATTATTTGGACACAGGAGCTCACACATCACAATATAATATAGTAATAAGTCTAAATCTAAATTAACCAGAGGTGAAAAAAAATTAAATAAACTGACCCTTGGGGGCTTTACAAATTCAGGCAGGTACAAGGAGCTGTCCTCGAGAAATTGATGAAGATAAAATGGATGATCTAAAGTAAAAAAGAGACAAAAAACATTATACACTGAATATATTATATATATTATCCATTCTCATGAGACAATGTGCAATAGGAAGCACAGAGCATGAGTCATGCATGATTGTTTTTACCATTGTCTTGTAGGTACTTCTTCAATTTCCTTGCCGTTTTGAAGGACAGCTTTGCCGTTGATTCATTTTCCAAAATCTCCTCTAGCTCTTCTCTCAGATCTTGAGGCACCGAATCATTTTCTAATAATTGTGACGCTTTATTTCTGAATTTCTCTCCGACAACAAAAGCCGACGCCATGGTTAAATTCACTCAAAACTGCCTTCAATGCACAGATCTCTCAAAATACACCAAGACACATTTATACAATAACATATATCGTTATGTATTTTACAAATGTGTTATTTCAATTAATCTAAATCGCAATTTCTTTCCGCTGTATCCAAAAGGCAGTGTACGCGGCCATGTTGTTTACCTTGTGACTGTGACGTAGAGGTGAAGGGGCGAGAGTGTGCCAAGCGTCAAATTAATCATCGGATATTTTAGTTTCTTTAAATAAAATGCAGTGTTAAAATATAACTGAACACGATATTAAAGCAAAGTCTTAAATTATTATGAAAATACTCGATTATAGTCAAGATAAATAGAAAGATAAGTTTTGAAGATTTATAATGATTTATTTCGTTAAAAGAAGATTTTGCACAAATTTAAGCAATAATTACATGTAAAATAATATCCAAATATATTTTTTAAACCAAACCAAATACTGTTTATAAAACTTAAAATTGTTTCTAATATTTATTATGTACTCAAAATCCCCCCTCTTCTTGCAGCTCGTACAACCGTCAAGGGGTGAGTGCGTGCCAAGCGTCAGATTAATCATCGGATATTTTAGTTTCTGTAAATAAAATGCAGTGTTAAAATATAATTGACCACAATATTAAACCAAAGCCTTAAATTACAATGTAAATACTCGATTAAAGGCTTGAAAAATAGAAAGAGTAGTTCTGAAGATTACTAGTGATTTATTTCGTTAAGGTATTTTTGCACAGATTTAAGCAATAATTACATGTAAAATAATATCCAAATATATCTTTGAAACTGTAATGCAGAGGTAAGTTATTTGAAATCTTATAAATATAAAAAACAAACAAAATGTCGCTTGTATAACTTTAAATTGTTCGTAATATTGATGATGTTCTCAAAATCCCCACTCTTCTCGCGGTCCGTGCACGCCTCTCTGGTACATGCAGCAAAAGTGCGTGTCTCTAAACGTGCCTCGCATCAAAGATGGCGGCCTGTGCACTGCGCCGAGGTCTGCTGAGCACTGTCAGTAAATACAACAGAAAGCACTCGCACAGATTACTGACGGCGGCGGACAGTAGCGGGGGCTGGGATGTCTTCAGACCCCGGTTACTGTGCCGGGCCTGCGGGTTAACGGCGAGTACCGGCGTGCTCCATCAGCGGAGGTTCATGTCGTCGCGGTAAGAGTGTCCTCCTCTGTCTCTAAAGCTAGCGGCTAAAGACACGCTTCCAAAACACGTAAACTCACTTAATCTGCTATTTTGCGATCTAGATGAGGGTGCAGATGTGATGTTTTGGCGTAATGTTTTGATCGCGTCCGTACAGCTGACTTTTATGGCACGGTTGTTGTAAATGGCACTTGCCCTCTGCACAGCGGCTAACCACCAGCGTGCATTGGGTAATATCTGAGGTTTGTCTACGTCTGAAAATATGAACTTATGAAACTGCACAACCCACGATTACCACGTCACTTTTACTTTTTAGTGCAAATATTAGTGATTGATTGATCTTTCAAAAGGTAAATAAACACTACTCGGATTTCTGTGACATTGTACTAAATATAATAGTTTTGATCACACATTTTCCACATTCAGGGATCATGTTTGTGGAATAAACTACTGGTTGGTCAGTGGTAGGGCTGTATGATGAAGAAGTTGCCTATACGATACATACCTCGATACATAGGCCTCGATATGATACATATCTCCATACAGTGCACTTTTGTTTCGATACGACATATTTTAAATCGATTCGATGCGGTTCAGTAAAAACTTCTTGTGCAAAGGTCATATGAAACGCAATCATTTTAATCCTTAAAACAGTGAATATGTCCAGTGTGCTGCATGAACAAATTTCCGTCTTCTGAACAAGCAACAAAACTGTTGCGCTGTAACAAAATAATCTAGAAAAATATACCAATATACCAACAAATAAATAAATAACAACAATCATAACCTAGTCTATTAAGCAGTTCTTCTATCTACTAACCATTGAAAGTAATTGGCTTGTTTTGCATATGCTAGATACCCTTCCATTCATGATGTGGACCTTTTTTAAAAAAAAATAATAATAATTTTTAGCTTTATGCATTTTAGCACATTTTATTCATTGTTTTTATTTATGATTGACTGTCTTTTGTATTAATTTGTTTGTGCGGCACTTTGGAAACTGTCATGTTTATAAAATGTGGATTGGATTGATTAGACTGCACAGGCATCAGATTGACTGATTCATTTCTGAATTAGAAATAGACCTCATGTCAAAAGATGAATGTATTTGGTATTGGTAATTATCTGCAAACAATGTATAGTTAGTTTTGCCACATTTGTACAATTGCTATAAGGTTTAGCAGTGAAAAACGCTCCTATGTTCTGAGCAGCATTCACAGTTGTCGCAGCTGCCTAAAAAGTGTGTGAAAGTTCACTACAGTTGGAGTTACTGTCTGTGTTTACTGTTTCCACTTGGGGCTCTGGGGGTCAGTGAGGACTTAAAGATGCATTGTGCAACTTTTCTGATGGAGGGTCTGTCACCTGCTTGTTTTCATGGAGATTTTATTGCTTTCCCTGGAATGTTCCATGGATAACATTAAACACATCTTTCAGAACTGATTAATTATGCATTCATAAATATATACATTTTCTCTTGAATAGGGTTGCTGCTCCACAGATCTGACCTGTAATGTAGCCTATAGTTGTCTCCCTTGAGATAGATAGGTTTATTCCCTATCGTTGAAAATTCTAGACAAAGCATCTTCATGGAGACATGCAGGTGACGGACCCTTCACCAGAAAAGTTTTGCAGTACACCTTTAAACTGAGAAAACTTTTGTGTAGTACCCTTATGAGTCTACCACATAATCTGTTAATCTATTTACCAGAGCGGAAACTCAGAATAATTTTAGTAGTTGACTAGTCAGCGAATACATTTTTTGATTAGTCACACAATTATTTCTACACAGAGACTGTACATAGAGACTTTTCAAATACCACATCAACAAAATGAAGGTTGGAATGTGGTGACTGGATACTTCTAGATATAGAATATTTCCAAATAATTTGTATTATTGATGAAAAACATAAATTGATCTTTATTTTTTGACATATTGTGTGTTTTAGAATCTGTATAATCCAGGTAACATTGTTTATAGTGGACTTGTTATAATTAGTCGATTAATTGTTTTATTTTGCATTTGCTTTATTATTTACAACTACTTATCATTTTGTGTAATCAGTGGTGGAAGAAGTACTCAATTTTGTTACTTAAAAATACTCATCCTGGAGCAAAAATTAACTAACCTAAAACTATCACATGAAAAAAATGTACTTATGTAAAAGTATTAAGGTGCCTGTTTAAAAATGTTCTTAAAGAGGAAAAATTTTGATGTCAATTTTGTTCAACAGACACAATTGAATCAGTGTTTTTTTTTCTAAGTTAGCTGTTTTTATTTGTATATTTTTGCTTGCTCAAATTTTGAACTTAATAAAAATAAACCCCTAATTTCAGCAGGTTTCAAACAATAATAAAAAATTAATTTACTTCTCAGTCCTGTTGAAAAATGTAGTGGAGTAGAAAGTACAGGTACCTGCTCTCAAATGTAATTAAGGAAGATTAAAATCTTCTTAAGTAAAGCAGGGATGCAAGTATTACAGTAGTACAGTGCTTTACTACTTTTACTTCCTTACCTTCCACCACTGTGTAAATAGAGCATTTCCCATTTGTGATAGAAGTGGAATCATTGGCTTTCTGTACCTTAAGAACAAACAAATATGTAAGCCTGTCTAAATTGTCTACAGTCTCTAATAACAATAAAAAATAATTCTACATAAGCCAGAAATTGAGATTCATTGCAGCCAAAAAATTCTCAGTGGAAATTGGATACTGTGGCCTACTGACCTCTGACCTGTCCCTGTGTGGGTCAGCGCGCTGCAGGCTACTGGTTTTGAGGGTGGACTTACAGACAGGAAACAGACCCATTTAGACAGATGCTCAGATAGTTAGTGCTTATCAAGTTCATAATAATACATTTTTCAATTTCTTAATTTTGTAAAGAACTTGTCTTATGCTACAGTTTTTTCTGATCTCTGTTATAATGTTGTTTCCTAGAATTGTGTTTTGTTTCATTCACATGTTTAATTAACAAACAAACCCTGCATATTTAGGTTGTGTTCTTCTCTCAAACTGACAACACAATGTTCTGGTAACACAGAAAGTGCACAGGAACTCCATACATGTTCACTTTGTTCCATTTAGACTCTGGAATGGCCAATCACAACTGAACTTAAGGTCAAAAGGAGCTGTTATCTTGAAAACTACTGCTTCATGACATCACGAGGTGGAACAGAGCGTTTTGAGCTTTGGAGATGTAGACCAACTAATAAGAAAGGATTACTCACACATGTAAACAAAACACAACTCCAGGCATGTTTTTGAGATGATAACAGCAGTATAACATGGTTTATAGTTTACAAGAATCCATTTAGGGTAATGTAGGAGCTTTAATGTTGTGGGATTGGGTGTTTTCTTTATGTAATGTTTCATGTATAAACTAGCAGTTGTATAGGAAGTCTTGTATAAACATGACTCTTACATTTCTGGCTGCTGTGTCAGAAGACTCCTCAAAGCGTGACCAAGCATTCGCGTTCTCGGCTCACAGTCATGTGATGTGAGCTTACAGATTTAGAGCTATCCTTAGCAACTCAGGGAAAAGCCAGACACATTCCACCACTGGTTTGATACTTCATTTACATTTCACATTAGAATATGAGTGCGACTAAATATGGGCATTTCAATACATGCAGGGATCATTTGATTATACTGTACAGATACCACAGATAAGACATATATGGAATAATACTTTTAATATAATGGAAATCTATTCTTATTTTGAGTACTCGGTGTTGATTAAAAAAAAAAAAAAGTAGTTTCTAAGCAGATTGTTTGTGGACTTCATGGAGTGGCTTAAAGATCCTATATTATGCCAAATTATAATCCTCACAAACATACCCAAAGTTGTTTTTTGTTTCATTCACACATCTTTGAGTAATCCTTTATTATTAGTCTGTCAACATCTCCAAATCTCAAAATGCTCTGTTCGCCCTTGTGATGTCATGAAGCGTCAGTTTTCAAGTTAACAGATACATTTTTATTTTTTGTTCAGTAGAGATCGGCAATTCCAGAGCTGAAATGATCCAAATGATTCTAGGGTAGCTGTATGGAGTTCCTGTATTAACACATGACATCACAAGGTGGAACAGAGTGTTTTGTTTTTTTTTCAGTTTGAGAGAAGAACTCGGCCTAAATATGCAGGGTTTGTGTGTTAAACGTGGGAATGAAACAAAACACAACTTCAGGTCTGTTTGTGAACATTCTAACATAGATTCTAAAATAGTGCAATATGGGCCCTTTAACAAAGTGATAGAGTGAAAACAGTCATGTATTCGTAGGTTGGGGGTTTGATCTCATACTATATTTGTGTCCTATGGCAAGACACTGTTGTTCCACACTGTTGTGAAAGTGAATGGTGGAATGAATAGTTGTGGTCAGAGAGGTATAGATCCATGACAGTTTACCCCATGGCAACTGTGGATCTGCTTTATGATATCATTGGAATTTTGAGAAGATTATCACAGTTTTTGCGTGCCGTGCATGTGAAATACTGATATGGATTTTCTTGAGCCAATACCTGTATTTGTCTGGCTATAGTAACTGATAACTGATCAAATCTATAGCAAATCAATCCCACAAATGTACGGTAAAGGTGCGCTATGTTGCTTTTCTGGTGGAGGGTCCATCAGCTGCTTTTCTCCCTGGACAACGCAGGGTCAAGATGCATGTGAGATCTGTGGAGAGAGTAAGAATGCAAGTTTTAGGTCAAGAAAAATATGTTCTGTTGAATAAATGTAAGGTTACGTTCAATGCCATACGGGGGGGTGAGACGAGACACACCGCAAGATTGGGTCCACACGCATGAGACAAGATGAGATTTTAACATCATAAGTAGTGCAATCTATTTCACAATATTGGCTTCATTTATTTCATGTAACACTTTAGTGGTCATTGTAGAACTGCTACAGCTTCTCAAATTGTATAACTCACCAGCTCTTAATTCTTTTTTGTCTACGCCAAAGGTAAATTCAGGGGGAAAACGTCTCACAAGAAGATCATTTTTCTCATGTGTACACAATCTTGTGGCAAGTTTGTCTTGCAAGATCCTGTGGCACGAGTTCTTGTCCCATCCCTAACACCGGGGCATACCAGACAAAATAATAACTCTCCATGGAGACAAGCAGGTGGCAGACCCTACACCAGAAAAGTTGCACAGTACACCTTTAAGTTATAGTACAAATTATAACCATCTTTTATCTGGGGATTACAGCTTTATTTGACCCCAATTGCTCCTTGATTTCCTTTCTTACTCTTAGTCTGTTCCAAAAGATAAATCTGACATACTGAGGACAAAATGTGAATGACACATGGACACACAGGGGCATCGTAGACAAATTATCTGGGCCAAATTTCTGCTAAAACAAACAAAACAGCCTATCCCTAAATCCCTAAAGTGCATTGTCACGTATCTCTGGTCTCGCTCCGATGGACAGAGGTGATGACAGGAAACAGCCTGTTTTAACACAGACTCAAAAGGACAAGTGAGAGACAGGCCGGAGGGAGGGCATCTGACATCCAGGGCTGCATTGTGAAACCCGGGTCATGTTTGTCTAAGCCACCGGTGTTGTAATAGTGTTTTTTTTGTACTGTTTGACATGGCAGGGCTGATCTGCCCATGCTCATCTGGGATTGGGAGCAGATCGATCTGTGTGCAGAGGTCTGTGTTTGCTGTACTAAATATAGGCCCAAGGTATGACGCCCATTCAGTTTAGAGATTTCACAATTTTAACATTTAGTGTAACAAATATATATATATATATATATATATATATATATATTTATATTTTTTTTTTTTTTTATATATATTATATGTATTTGTTGTTTTTTTTTTTTGTTTACTTCATTATCTTACTTCATCTGCATCGTAGAAGTACTATGACAATGTATTGGTTAATTGTAGAGGGCAGGAGAAGTCATAAATTGGGTTATAATGATTAGAATTCGAGAGAGACTGATCAGTTACCCAGTATTGGGCTGATATTTTTACTTTTAGCTTATTGGATATATGGGCCTTAAATCTCCAGCACAGGCTGAAATTTAGATTTCTTACTACCTGAAAAAACACAGAAAGGTTTATGGGTGAGTAAGAACTAACATCACTGAACAGAAATGATGCAAACCACACTTTTACTGATACAGGATTGGCTGTAGACCCCTCGAAAGACTCAAAGCATAACGTACCATAAATGTATTTTGTAACATATTCTACAGACATTGAATTCTGCATTGAATTGCACTTGAATGATAGTGTAATGGTGTAACATAGGGTTGAAAACAGCTTTATATTTGTTTCGCTTTTTTTAAAGCATTTCCTATCACTACTGAGAGATGGAAAAATCACACATGCCTCACCACCAGAGCAGAGTTCTCCCTGATTCTGTGCAATTTGAAGCCTAAATTACATGTACAAATACTATAATGTATTCTTCTGATTTTAAAAAAGTAACTGTTTCCTGAATACCGCCAAATGAAAAAGTAACTGTGCCAGAATACAGTTTACAGTTTACATATTATATTATTACATATATATTGTATATATATGTATGTATGTATATATATTGTGTATATATATATATATTTATATTGTATATTACATATACAATTTTGCATTTCGCAAGATCTCGTGCCACAAGATCTTGCGAGACAAAATTGCCACAAGATTGCGCACACATAACCAAAATGATGTTGAGATTTTTATTTTTTTTGGTCATGTTTGTATGTTTGGATTGAAAGAAAAGAGTCCCAAAAAGCAGAGAGAGATACAATGACAGCAGAAATATTAAATAAAGTAAATATTGTGAGGCTAAAATTGGGAACTGAACTAGACAATGTATTTATTATAACCAAAATGTCAAAATCTCATCTCATCTTGTCTCATTCTCGTAGATCCAATTTTGTGTCTCGTCTTGTGGAAATCGTATCTCCTCCCACCCCTACTGGCTATTTGTATCCAGCTCCACTAGTACCAATATTTTCAAAAACAATACACACGTTTAGCGCTTCCGTCTCATCTCTCAAAAACACACTGATGTTTACCTAATCCATATCAGCATTTACAAGTATCATCCTGATTTCATCTTTTGCTTCAGTTATATTTTTTACCACTGTGTATTGAACCCTTCAGAGCTCATATCTCCGCTGTGACAGGATTTACTTTTTAAGCCCTGTTTTTGTAATAAATTCAGGTTATCTACTGCTTATTCTTGCGCAGCGATATGAAAATACACTACGGCCATCTTCTAGTGTAATATTAAATCCCCCAGAGCCATATCTCATATTCATTAATCCTCGTTTTTCATCTCTGCAGATTAGCTTCGCAGTGAGCGCCGAAGTATGCGTGTTATTCTGTTCAAGTGACCAGCTGTTGTTTAGTATGCGTTTGGTGTGAAGAGAGAGAGATTAAGGAATTTCGATTTGTCCATGTGTTCCAAGATGAGGAGTTGTGTCAAATCTTGTCAAAGTTGTGATTGGGTTTGAGAGAAATGAGAGGGAGAGAGAGCGAACGCAAGCTGGCTGCTGTCTCTGTGTTCATAATATTGTTTTGATGCCCTATTCGCCCTTTACAAATGTCATCAAAAAGAGGGATACGACAGACGGCATCAACATCTGTAGAGGGGCTGAGCGATTTTTGAAATAAAAATCGAATTGTGATTTTCTGAATTACTTTTTTTTCCACAGTTCATATGAATGTATTGGGGGCATTAACATTTAAAAGAAGTTTATGAATGGATATTTACAACAATAAAAACAAGACATTCTACGTAGCAAAAAATACAAACTAAAAGTCTGATAAAGTTACTTCCTTTGACCTACTGTATCCTACCCTGCCCTGTTATGTTTTATGTGGAAGTGGGTGTATTTTAAAGATGCACTATGTAAGAGATGACATTCCTTTGTCTGAAATGTTCCACACTATGACATTCCACAGTATGGCATTGTCTTATCACTATGGAAACAAACAAGTAACGCAATCAGGCGAAGTTACAGGTCAAATCTGTGGAGACACCTAGCCAGGCTGGCGCCACATAGTGCCTCCGCTCAATTTCATTTCTCTCCAGCGATGAGGTCAGGAATTAGAATACACTAGACGGTTTGCAAGAACCCCGGAAGTGGTAGACCATGCACCGACCAATCAGCAAAGAGCTGAACCAACTCAAGTTGTGATAGTAGACTGCATACGCTATCCTCCTTTGGACTTCCTTTGTCAAATAGAAACTTTGCACCTTTAATTTGCAAAATCACCTCACAGAAACGACAATGATCATTGACAGACGTGTTCACTCTCTGCTTTGTTTGCTGTTGTGCTGGCAATTACTTGGACACCACTGAGCGTTCTGGCACATTACATACATCACAACCAAATAGCAGCGATTGGTTAAATAAAAAAAGTACCTGCCTACCGTCAAGCAAACGAATCCTAATGCTGCAAGGTCCAAAGGTTTCCACAAAGTTAAACCGGCTAATGAATCAGGCTACGAAAGACCAGCTTGCTCACAGAAAGAAAAATATCATTTAATTGTATTTTGTAGCAATTAAAACATTTGTAATTGATTAAATGCAAGATAGATATGCTCAGTGCCATACTGTGGAACAGTTAATTTCTACAGAAACAAACTGAAAAGTTGCTTAGTGTACCTTTTTAAATAATACATCATGTTTGTATCTTGTGCTTTGTGTGTTAGTAATAATAATGAAACCTGTGCAGTTTGTGTAATTGTGTTTTGGTTTCCGGCAGGAACAGGCCTGAAGGGAAGATTTTGGAGACTGTTGGAGTGTTTGAAGCTGTGAAACAACACGGAAAATATGAAACAGGACAGGTACACTTCATTCTACCACCTACACAACCCATATGTCACAAACCTGAATATCCTCATATATTTGTCTTCTTCTTTTTGGAGCCAACATGGATTCAGTACATTAATTTTCATGTTATAATCAAAACAAATTAAATAAACCAGAAAAAAAAAATACTTGAAAAAACAATCTGACATGGACTTCTGGACATTTTCAAACAGATATTTTAGCATTTGATGGATTTGAGTATGTGTATTTGATATTTAAAATGTGTGTGTGTTAAGGCAGAATTGTTCATAAAATAAAATATATTCTGGGTCAGGCGAAACTTCAGCTCCTTTTCCAGTTTGCTGTTACTTGCATGTTTCATGTTTATACTGTATTAAATTAGGTACTTAAAACAAAACCACAATTTGATACAACCTGCAAATAACTAAACACAAATTCCCTCAAACAGTGATACAATTCACTGTAAATATTTAGAGAACAAGAATAACACATTATATTTAGACTCATTTCTAACATCTTGTTAGTTGCTGCTAATCTAATCTACTCTAGGGACTGTTAAACCATTTATTGCTGTAATCTCATTATTTGTGACAGTCGTCCATGTTTTCCACAGCTCTTCCTGCACAGTGTGTTTGGATACAGGGGCATTGTCCTGTTCCCTTGGCACGCCAGACTCTACGACCGCGACGTCACCCCTCCCATGTCCGACAGGTGAACCAAAATCACAAAAATACAGTGGATCCTTGGTCTCCAATAGGCAGCTTGGCCCTGAGTGGATCTAGTTTAGTTTATTTGTCAGGGACAACGCACATTAAAAACATTGACCCACACAAAGAGGCAATACGTTTGTCCCAAGTTACAGCAAACTTGCTCATTTCCGCCTTCAGTTCCTAAATGGTGTACAAGCCAATAAAATATGTATAATATACATTAGTGATGGGACAAGATCTCTTGAGACAAAATTGCCACAGGATTGTGCACATGAGAAAACATGATCTTGCTTGGACAAAAAAGAGTTAAGAGCTGTTGAGTTATACAATTTGAGAAGCTGTAGTTCCAAAAAGCAGTACTACAATGATCTCTAAAGTATTACATAAAATAAACATAGCAAACATGGTGAAATGGATTGCACTACTTAATTATTACAAATGATGACAAAATCCTGTCTTGTCTCGTTCTCGTGGACCCAATCTTATAGTGTGTGACGTCTCGTGACAGTTGTGTCGTCTCACCCTCATCCACTAAATCAATAAATAAAACTAGTCCTATTTGGTCACTACACCTGGACCAGTGAAACCCCAACCTGTATTTGAATGCGTCAGATACATTAGTTACAGACAATCAGACTCCTTTTTCAACTTTAGGTGTAATACCCAGTATTGTCTACTAGTGAATATGATTGTATATATACCCCGATATTGGCATACAGTCCTCAGTCCAGGTTGTGCATTTTGGCAAACTAAACTATCATTATTCATGGGCAGAGTCCCTTATCAACTTTAGGTGTAATACCTAATATTGTCAACTTGTGCGTATGATAGTATATGTACCCAAAATTGTGATAGTTTTGAATTAAAAATGTCATTCTCTTGTCTTAAAAAAAAAAGATTTTTATTGTGGTAACCAATTCAGTACTGAGCCTTAGAATCGAGTTAGATCCTAGTTACAGTGACAACAATATTCCTCTGGCGGTGTTGGGCAAATAAAAGGTGTTTTTGGCAGTTTTAACCATATTAATCTGATTAATGGATCTAGATAATGCTTAAAGGTGCACTGTGTAACTTTTCTGATGGAGGGTCCGTCAAATGCTTTTCTCCATGGAGATGTTATTGCTTCGTCTGGAATGCCTGTTCTTCTAGGTATTTCTGAGCAATAAAATGACCTGTAATTGAATAAATTAATGTCATACTGTGGAACATTCCAGGTAGACAATGACATATGCATAGAACTAACCAGGTGATGGATCCTCAACAAAATAGTTACTAGTTACACCTTTAAAACAACATATGGTATTGTTCTTCTACTGCTATGGCAAACCCAAGTATAATGAAACTGTGTTCGTCCATTCAAATAATTTTCCTTCTTGTCCAAATACTTTTGAACAAGATGACCCTACTACATCTGGACAAAACTTGATTACAAAACAGATAAAATGTTCTATTTTGTTTATTTTGACATGTTACTTTCTGTTTTCTCAGTAAACCAGAGCCACCCGGAGCTCACGGGTCAAAGGAGGTGAAGGGCAAAACTCACACCTACTACCAAGTCCTGATCGACACCAGAGACTGCCCACACATAGTACGTCACATTCAACAACTTTGCTTTTTAAAAAGATTATATGTACATTTGTGTCTTCAGTAGATGGATATTCTCAAGTTTTAGATAAGCACTATGGGCATTTATTTAGACAATATTAAAGGTTTTATATAATGCCAAATTGACCCATGTGATCTTAAAGTCATCTTATAATGTTGTTGCCTCATCAAAAACATACGTTTTTTTTTTTTCCATTCACACATGTTTAAGTAATCCTTTATTATAAGTCTGTTTACATCTCCAAAGCTCAAAATGCTCCGTTCTACCTAGTGATGTCATGTAATGGTAGTTTTCAAGTTAACAGCTACATTTTACCTTTTGTGTAAGACCTGTGCACTTTCATAACGACAACAAAAACTAATACATAACCTGCTTACCATAACTAGTAGTATAATTTTAACAGTTCTTGGCAAACTTCACTACTGTGCCAGTGTCAATAATGCATTATCTGCAAAGTCCTTCTCAACAGGACAAACACAAGGCAGATTCACAATGCTCTATTTAACTCAAGTTTAAGAAAATTAGATTCCTTCTTAAACGTGCACTGCGCAACTTTTCTGCTTGTCTCCATGGCGACGTTATTGCTTTGCCTGGAATGTTCCATGTTGACATTAAACATATCCTACTTCTATTTATTTATTACGAGTTTCTATCGCTCAAAAACACAATAATTCCTTGTGTGAATAGGGGGGACTCTCCACAGATCAGAGTTGTAATGTAGCGTACTGCTGTAACCTGCTTGTCTCACTTGTGATAAATTGGTTTAATCTACACTGTGGAACATTTTACACAAAGCAGTAACATTTCCATGGAGTTGAGCAGGTGGTGCACCCTCCACTAAAAATGTTATGCAGTGCACCTTTTAATAGCATTTTTGTTGTAACTTTTGATTTGTTTTTCTCTCTTTAGTCTCAGAGGTCCCAGACAGAAGCGGTGACATTTTTAGCAAATCACGACGACAGCAGAGCCCTGTACGCCATCCCAGGTCTGATCCCTACTGCACAAACACACACTTTAAAAAGATTTTCTCATTAGTACTTGACATAAACCAAATTTGCACGGATGATAATGGTCCTTAGACACCACAACTTCAAACAATGTATGAATTGACAAAGTAAACAGTGTCTTATGCACAAAACTTACAGATTTATATCAGTGTTGAAGACACTCATTGGTGGCTTTGAGCTAACATTTGCAAGAAAAAAATAATAATCCAATCCTGCCTTCTTCCTTTGGGCTGTTATATTTGCAGCTGATGTCATCTACATTCCCCGGGGGTGTGTGGCACTGCTCTTTCTGAGGCTTTGTTAGACTTCAATCCATGCTTTATTGGAATGCAATCTGACCAAAAAGAACTGATTTACACCCCCAGTGTGATGTCACTGCAAAGTCTCAACTATTTAAACAATGGATAGATCTAGATTATTAGTTTGATATTAAGAGTTTGTCATTTTTGCCCTTAACAAATAACTCCTACAGTATATTCAATAAAAACAAGTGTAGCCCAAGTACTGTTTTAATTTTTCTCTGCTCTTCATAGGATTAACATGTTTGTACTATTTCTACTTAGGTCTGGACTATGTGAGCCACGAAGACATCCTCCCCTATCACTCGACAGAGCAGATCCCCATTCACCATGAACTGTTCGAACGCTTCCTCGTCTACAACCCATCCAAATGTAAACTTCCTACACAGCTTTGCTTGAATAGTACAAAGATACGATTATAATAATAATGTCTTGCACTTGTAATGCGCTTTACAGGCTTGTGGAAGCCTCTCAAAGCGCTACTCAGTGTTATTATTCATTCACCACACGCTGTGGTGATAAACTACTATTGTAGCCACAGCTGCCCTTGTCTAAAGCAACAATTAAAGCTGATTTGTGTTTGAATAATCTACTGAAAATGCACCAATGAAAGGGACATAATTTCATCATGTACGCTACTGAGTGTTTTTTGGCTTTTAAACTGTTTATATTTCTTAATAATGTATCATAATTAAGCTAAACATTTACTATATTTTGATGTGTACAAATCTTTAGCCTGGATCTTCTACGTTAAATGTTGTTGTTTGCCCCTAGCGCCCCCGTTCATTGCCAGAGACACCCTGAAGGCATGGCAGGAGAAGAACCACCCCTGGTTGGAGCTGTCGGATGTACACCGAGAGACAACTGAAAACATCAGGGTCACCGTCATCCCCTTCTACATGGGCATGAGGGTTAGTAAACAAAATCCTCCTCACTATAATACAACAATTTTAGATGTGCATTCATGATTATTCTGTTTGTCTGTTTTTAGGAGGCTCAAAACTCTCATGTTTACTGGGTAAGTAAAAGATTTTTGACAAACCTTTATAATGACTACACTGAGTTTAACCCCAACCGAAATCATTCTTAAAGCCGCTGAACTTGATTTTTACTGTCTTAAAACATGAAAAACACAACTAGTACATTTTAAACAGTTTGCAACGGTCCAGTTATTCCTTAATTTCCTTATGCATTCCGGGCATCCTAATCAATCACCTCAATGAGTTTATAAGCGCTTTTCACAACTCAGACACCGTGCAGATAAAGTAAACAACTACCATGCTAAGTTGCTCTTGCTGATTATCGGACAATAAAATGGTTTCTAATTAGATGCAGACAGCACCCAGCAATTTTATCTCTTATGAAACCAAGCAATTACCATTAGTCTGTTATTATCTAGTTAGATATGGGACTATATTTATACCTTACACAATACAACTGCGCAACAACTCACCCTTATGTAACCGATAACACTATGGCCTGTCAATCATTACTTCATCTTTGCACTGTTTTCCTTACAACCTCTTGCCAAGATATATTGTGTAACTTATCTGTGTTATAATTATGCCTTATTTGGCACCGGTTTTGATTGTATTATGAGCGTTTATATTGTTGTTCTTTGTTATTATATTATATTGTGATGTGTGAGCTACTGTGTCTAAATAATTTCCTTTGTGGATCGATAAAGTTTGTCTAAATCCATTACCGTGTGTTTAGTGGCGGTACTGCATCCGTCTGGAGAACATGGGGAACGAGGTTGTCCAGCTCCGGGAGAGGCACTGGAGGATCTTCAGTCTGTCTGGGACCCTGGAGACTGTGAGGGGGAGAGGAGTCGTGGGACGGGTGAGCACTACATTAAATATCCCCAAAATACAGTTAATTATGTGATTAAGGTAATGGAGCAAATTATGTAATAACTAATAATGTAATAAAACGTGAGCTCCATATTGTGAGTTCCATATTATTATTTGTTATGAATGGGTTTCAGAATGATGAAAAATTAGGACTATTGCCATGACAATTGAATACAAAATATATTATATCTAGGGTAAGTACTCGGGTAAGCTGAAACCCATGAATAAAATGGATACTTTATTATTTTTTCAAGCTGATTCCATAACACTTTAAATTGTACTATTCTTCTTCCATATTAAAGGTGCATTGTGTAACTTTTCTGGTGGAGATGTTATTGCTTTGTCTAGAATGTTTCACAGTATTGTATTTAAACCTTTCTATCTTCATGGACACCAAATTACACTAAATTACAGGCCAGATCTGTGGAAAAGCACCCCTGCTCAGAGGCAGAATGTATGTTTTTCTAGATATTTTTGAGTTGTAATTTAATAAATCTAAGATAAATGTAAGGTAGATCTGTGTAATATCATACTATCTCCATAGAAATAAGCAGGTGATGGATGGCCAACCAAAAAGTTAAACTTTGGGCTTTTAAATCCAATAATACAATAGTAATATACATTTAGTAATAGTGTATTTCTTACATATTAACCTTTGTATATTTCTGTATTTTTTTCGCTACAGGAGCCAGTGTTGTCAAAAGAACAGCCAGCCTTTCAGTACAGCAGTCACGTCTCTTTGCAGGCCCCTAGTGGTCACATGTGGTAAGTGTGTTTTAAAAACACTCAATTAACATGCAATTTTTGTTTGTTCCCATTGAGTTCTTATTATCTCTAGCTCCTTGATTCATGGTTCAGTTCCCTAATAGTCCTGGACCAGAGCTTGTGTGGAACTAATGGAGATGTTATTGTTTTGCCTAGTATTTCATTGCGCATACATATATTGAAACACATGGATTCTTACTGTGAGTGGGCTTGCCTCTCTACAAATCTGATTTGTAACTTGGCCTGGTGGCATCTTTGTGGAGCTAGATAATAGTTTTATGCTGTACTGGGAAACATTCCAGGCCTCTCCATGGAAACAAACAGATGGCCACAAAGATACATATTGTCTCTTTCAGTCATTTTTCTGGTGTTATTTTATTAATTTGTTCAGATCTTGGTTCGTTCAAAGTTTGGCTTCAATAAAGATGTAACTTATTGTAATTCCTCAAGTCATGCTTCAGAAACAACTAACGGTAATGTCTTGTTTTTGCCACTAGGGGGACGTTCCGCATCGAAAGAACCGATGGCTCCCACTTCGACGTTCGCATTCCTCCTTTCTCTTTGGAGAGCAACAAAGATGACAAAGCGCCTCCCGCAGGATACACGTTTTAACCGCAAAAACCCAAGAGCATAACAGTAATGATGTCTGGATCCTGGTTCCTCTAATGCTGCCCTTTTGCTGTTTAAATACCCCTCTGCCTTCTATACATATATCATTTCTGATAAGGGAGAAAGGACAGTTTATTGACAGTGTTAGGGTTATACAACACGCACAGTACATACATATTTCAATAGAAAATCTGGCACAAAACTGTTGTTAAAGTAAAATTGGTTTGTCATCAGAATATAGTACTTTTGCAGTGATTTGGGGTAGCTCATTTAGAGATAATTCTTTCCCTTTTGAGTTACAGCTTGTATTGTTGTTACCAAAATAACCCAAGGCTGACGTCCTTACATAATGATCTTGTTTGTTTGGAGAAAATTATGACTGACCTGTATTCCGTGGCCCCATTTTCAACATTTGTGATAACTACAGTGATTAGAGCCAAGAAAGTAACAAAGTAAAATGGGAACGTTTGGTGAACATTGAATCATAGTGGACAAAAAGTGCTGCAAAAATCCTTTTCTTTACAACTTTTCCTGGGGACTTCTAATCTGTCTCCTTGTTGGCAGTATTTGTTCTACGTGGTTTATCTTGATTTTAGAGGGGGTCACATAATGAAAACATTGATAACATTGTGAATGTAGTCTAAACGATATGCATTTTTTATAAATAAAAATGCACAAAAAAACCAATTTTTAAAAAGTAAAAATGGACAAAAAACATTGTATCTTGTAAAATTCCAAATTAGGGTATTAAAGGTGCACTGTGTAACTTTTCTGGTGGAGGGTCCGCTACCTGCTTATCTCCATGGAAATCGTACCGTTTTGCCTTGATCTTACACAATGGAAATATGTTAATGGTCAGGTCTATGGAGGAGCAAACCTGCACATGGTAAGAATTCATGTTTTTTAAGGTATTTTTCAGCTATAAGACACCTGAAATGCAAAGAAGATATGTTTAATACCCTACTGTGGAACATTTCAGGCGAAGAAATAACATCTCCATGGAGACAAGCAAATAGCAGACCCTCCACCTTAGAAGATACATAGTGCACCTTTATGTTTTTGTAAGCCATTTCACACAATTGACATTGTCTTTCTTAAATCTCAACTAACATGGACATGTTTTAGTACACATGTTGAACATTTTATTGAGATACTAAAAACATTTTTGTCAGTATCACCAACCCTACTAGGTCAGGACAAAGTGCAAAATAGAAGTCAAGAGTAGAGAGGGACATCCTAATTCAATTCATTCACTTGAATGTGCAAGACTACTAAAACTATAAAATGTCTTCAAGTAATCTATCTTTTAAAAGCTACATATCCCATTCTGTGCCATTTTTGAATTTAAAATGTTGTCTTGTGACTTTTCCATGTTTAGTAGATTGCAGTTTCCTAATGCTCCATTTAGCACATCCTCTACTGTGATTCAGTGTTCAGTGATCTTCACTTGGGCTTGGCAACAACTTAGAGACACTATGTAACTTTATTGGAGAGTCTGCTACTGTCGATCTCCACGGAAATATTACTGCTTTGTTTAGAATGTTCTGGCCTTGTGTGGTCTTCATGGAAACAGGATAAGTTCACTGCTATACTGTAGAACATTCCAGCCAAAGTATAATCCAGTCTCCATGGAGTCAAGCAACTGGCAGACCATCCACCAGAAAGTTACACAGAGCATGTTTAATTTTTGAAATTATATTTTCTGTTCACAATGGACTCTGTTTGAATGCAAAATGCGCTATTTTAAGCTTTATGCTACTGGGGTCTAAAGCACTGCAGTTTGTGCTTTCTTCTCATTTTTGCCCTTTTGAAATTGTTATAAAAGGCTAGTTCTTTTTAAAAGCAATATTTACATACATTTAGGATTGACAGGCCAATACATATGGAAACAATAAAAATGGATGTTATTTAAATTAATGTCTTGATATTTTAACAAAATTTATCCTGTTGACATAAAAGTTACAGACCTAAAAAATTGGTTTGTTTAAAGGAAGAGAGGATTTCTGTTTTGAAATTCCAGTGACACCTCCTGAAGGTTGAATACTGTAAATAGAAATGTATTAAAGGCAAATCAAATAAATTTTCCTTTTGAAAATTGTAATATATTTATTTATTTATTTTTTTTCCCTTTAACAATTCATGAACTCTGATCAATTCAAAGAATCAAATACTTGTAATACAAGAAGCCGCCACCAGATGTCGATGTAGACCAACTTAAAGACTTTGTAACAGAAGTACGTGATTCGTTATAAACTTAAGTATTTGAAACATTTTACTACATTAGAAACGACTGCTGAGTGATATGGTGAGAGAAAGTGATTTTTATATTCGGCTGCAACTTGATTTTTCAATTTGTTTAATTATACGAGCTACAAATATTAACACTTAACTGTACTAAGCTAAAGCAATTAGCAAAGTCAAGGCGATTCCAAAACACGTGTTGTATAAAGTCAGGCTAACATTTGCAATAATAAAATTTTTAGACGACATAAAATAAGTTCTCTGCTATTTTATAACGTTTCCCTGAGACAATTTTAATAGCCAGGTGTGTCTGATTTTACGTGGACATAATGCATCTTAGTTTAGGAGATTACGGTTTAAACATGTACCTGTAAACATGTGATGAGGATGCTATTATTGCTTTGAATTTCAGGAACATTCCGCAGTATCCACAGGCTCTGAACTCATCAATCTCCATGGAGACTATCAAGTAGGATCTCAATCAAGTTAAGTGACAGGTCTGATCTGTGGAGAGTCGACGCTTCTTACAAAATGCATGTTTTTCTCTTTTTTTTTACGAGCAAAAACAGATATACTAGGTAAATCAATGCAAAATATTTAAAGGGCCTATATTATATTTTCTGACCTATGCCATGTTTCCTCATCAAATGCATACCTGGAGTTTTGTTTTGTTTCATTCACACGTGTTGTGCAGTGTTTTTCTCTCAAACTGAAAATACTCTTCCACCTTGTGATGTCATGTGGTAGTACAGAAATGGCTCCACCGTGTTTTTAAACTCAATACACTTTCAGTAGAATCATTTGGATAATTTCAACCCTAGAATTGCCAATCTCTACTGAAGAAAATGTAAAAGGTAGCTGTTAACTTGAAAAGTACCACTACATGATATCACAAGGTGGAACAGACAGTTTTGGAAACGTAGAGCAACTGATAATGCAGGATTACTCAAACATGTGTGTGAATGAAACAAAACACAACCCCAGTTATACTTTTGACGAGGTAACAACATTATAACGTGCAAAAAAAGACAACTTTGTGTAATATAGGACTTTATTGTGATACTGAGAAACACAACAGGCAAAGGCAGCCATTACATCCCCATGGAGACAAGTAAAAGTTACGTAGTGCACCTTTAAACTTTCCCTCTGCGTGCTCCCCTCCCTCCCCATCTTCCTCCTCCTCATTCACACAACATCAGCAGCCAGCATCAGTGCCAGTCAGTAGGGAAGACTACAAGACTACTCCACTCTCCTTCACTGTACTGCGCTGTTTTGGAGCGGTTTTTGGCACGTTTGCGCTCGGTCACCCCCTTGGAAGAACGGTATTGTTTTTGGGTATAGCGTGGAAAAACGTGACTTGACTGGGGCTCTTTGGAAGGAGGCGAGCTGCACCGTCTTCCCTCCCTATCTCTCTCTCCCTTTCTCCCTACAGTAGACGTAAACATTGCCATGCCCTGCCGCAAACGCATCACGCCGTCTCCACATCGCTCTCAATCGCTTCTTCCGCGGATTTATTGACATTTGCCATGAAACGGGAGAGGATAAGCGGAAGATGCGGTTGATTTGCTGGAGGTAAGCGGTCAGAAGTTGCACACGGGATAGGAGGAGACTACGGGATAGGTGAGCCATTTTGTGCCGAAGATCACATCCTCTGTCCCGAGTTGGCTGCGCTGTGCACGACCATGCTGCGGGCGCTATCCACGGATCTGTTCCCCACTTGAGCCACGAATTGCGGGAGATTTCAGCAACTATTTCATCTGTAGCCGTACGTGGCCCAGTTACTTCTAAACGCGCTGGACATGTTTGGCACCTGCGCCCGTGCACCCCGTAGCTCCGCCTCCACAGTGCACCTGCCCCATCACTGAGTAAACAAAAATGAAGAGAGGATGCTGTGCGCAAAGTATGGGGCCAAATGAGGACATAAGGTGAGTTTTTTGTCTGTATAAAATCAAAATACGAAGCTCTTTAAAGGGAACGTATTACTCTATTTTCTGATCTTTGTTATAATGTCGTTTCCTTTTCAAAAACGCACTTAGGGTTGTGTTTTGTTTCATTCACACATGTTTAACACATAAATCCTACATTTAGGAAAACACCCTGTTCCACCATGTGCTAATACAGGAAGTGCTCCACTGTGTTTCTAAATTCTACACACCTTTACTAGAATAATTTGGATAATTTCTGCCCTGTAATCGCCAATATTCACTAAACAAATCAGAAAAGGTAGCTGTTAACTTGAGAACTACTGCTTCATGACATCACAAGGTGGAACAGAGCGTTTTGAGCTTTGCAGATGTAGATTAATAATGCAGGATTACTCAAATTAATGAAACAAAACAACTCCAGGAATTAAGCCCTGATGAAGACCAGTTAAGGTCAAAACATGTTGGCTTTGGCCATTTAAATAAAGGCCTTTCAACTACATTTTTCCTCATGCGACTTTTTACTTTTTCTACATCTTTGGAGTGCCTGGAGTCTGTTGTGTTTTAATTTGGTCATAGAGCACCCTCTACCTGCTCCCACTGATTAGAACACCTGCAGCAAACAGCCACATTTTTGTTCATTCTGCACAACTCCAGGAATGTTTTTGAGGAGTTAACAGCATTTTAACATGGCTTAAAGCTCACAAGAGTCAATTTTGCATCATGTAAGACCTTTTAATGTGTGTGACCTCTTTTCACTAACCGACCTTTTCCATAGTTAGTCTCATTTTAGACCCAGTTTAGTTCTAAAATGAGAATAACTTTCCAGATCTGTTTTTAAATCTGGTAGTACTTGGAAAGTCAAATATTATCTTAGCTGCTTTGTTTTAGAGTCACTGAACTAAGCAAATAAATTACTGAAATAAATGGCTCTAATCTGTAACATATGGACTCCCTGGAAGAGTATCTCTGCTGCAAACTGCTCCAGATGAGATTACATATTTTTGCCTGGAGGTTTGCCTTATCTGAAGGAGATGCATATTTTTAGCAATATATTAATGGTTTCCAGCAGCTATTACTGTTATCACAATACTAAAAAGCTAGAAAAAACTCAAACTCAAACTAAAACTCAATTCTGTCAGCTGGACCAAATGCTGGTGGACTGTAGGGAAGAGCTAACTACACTGAAACTACTCTGAAACTAACACACATACTTGTTTACAGTAGTAGTAGTAGTAGGTTTGCTATATATTTACAATACAATGACAAATTTAACATGGAAGGAAGTGGGAAGAAGAAAAACTTATAATTTCCCACTCCCTGCACCACATTTACATTGTGTACCTACTTTCACAGTTCATCATTAATAATTTCCTTGTAGTCATTGAGTTAATCTTCAATTTCCTTCCTTCATTTTCAGTTCAACAATAATAATGTTACACACAATCTTGTTTCTGGCCATTTTAATGTCATCCTGTAATGTATTTAAATCATGAAAATCTCTCACACAACTATGATTTTCTACTTCTACTCATGGCCTTTGCAACATGTTAATGATTGGGGGGCTAACCTGTGCCTCTTTTCGTGCTAACCAAAAGTAAATAAGGACCTCATTTAACTCTTCAGAGACATTCACACTTGTTTTGGTCCTGGTTTGAGCCCACTTTCGTCCTGATGTAAGCTTGGTTTGGCCCTGGTGTAGTACTGGTTCCACCCTGTTCTAGTCCAGTTTTATCACAAATGTAATGTTATGTGTGGACCCAAACACTCAACCCAAAAACATCACAAAAGTGGACCCAGAGTAGAACCATCATCATGTCCTTGTTACTGAATTATAGTTATATTTTATTGTCCCCTAATTACAGTATTTGTGTTTCAATTGGTGTAATTAGTTTTGATAAAAAATGTTTCTGCCTGTTTTTGTAACAAGGCCTGTCCTTGTTTGTTGCCACATCAACCGTCAATTAGAGTCAACTATCACAACAAAGTGTTCCTCCATTTTGTCACTGGACACATAAGTGCCCCTCGCCATGGAAACGAGAGTAAACAACTTTGGTGTACTGTTTATTCTCTACTATAGGGTCCTTTTTCATGTAAATTATGCCTCTTATCTTTGCTGTTAGATTATGGATAAAGCAGACAAAAGCTGGAGTTAAACAGCCCATATTACACAATTTTTAAATCTGTGTTATAGTGTAATTTCCTCATCACAAACAAACTTAGAGTTGTATTTTTTCTTTTCTTCATTCATACATTTAACACACATCCTGCATATTTAGGCTGAGTTCTTCTCTCAAACAGAAAACAGTCTGTTCTTCTTTGTGTTATCATGTGGTAATACAGGAAATGCTCATCTGTGATTTTAAACTCCATACACCTTCAATAGAATTTGGATAAATTCAGCCCTGGAATTTCTGATCTCTATTGAACTAAAAGTAAAAGCAGCTGCTAACTTGAAAACTATCGCCTCATGACATCATAAGGTGGATCAGAGTATTTTGAGCTTTGGGGATGCTAACAGGTTAATAATGTAGCGTTACTCAAACATGTGTGAATGAAACACAACACAAGTCAGTTTTGTGTAATATAAGACTTTAGTTAATTTAATTGTAATATAGGACTTTAGTTATTGTAGTAAAGCATAAAAGTGCTCGACCCATGTGCTGCCCAGCTATTAGGTTAGTTGGAGAGGGCGTTACATCCTCATGAGTGCGTACATTTATATTCTCATGAACACTGCTCCAAATGAGACATCTGCAAAAGAAGTTACACAGATCAGATATTTTTCAAACTTGATTTTGATAAGGAATAGACTCACACTCACAAAAACACTTTCTTTAAACAATAGAATGCGATTTTTAACATTCAATGGTAGTACTTTCTTTTCTATTCCCATGTGGTCTTATATCTGTGTAATCCCTCAGTGGTCCATATAGGTTCCATAGGCGTTTACAGTACTAGTCTCTGTGCTCTTATACTTGTGCTGATACAGCTCCAGATAATTCTACAGCTACTCAGGAAAGCTTTACTTCTGTTCTGCGAATGTATGAGTCTATTTTTAGTATTGATACCTGTTGAAATGTGTATCTAGTTTTTTGGGGGTTGAGTGCATTCAGAAATGTCTTTGGAATAAGTAAGAAACTAAATCAGCAAAAACAGAAACACATCTGTGTATTTAGTGTTTTTCTGAATATTACTATGCCTGTATGGGTTATAATGATCTCACAGGGTGTTTTATTAGAGTACATAGTAGATAATGATAATGCAAGTAATCAGTTTTTTGAAATAGGAGTCAGTTGGGGATAACTTAAAGGTCCTATATTACACAAAATTGACTCTTACAAGCTTTAAGCCATGTTAGAATGTTGTTATCTCACCAAAACCTGTGATACCTGGAGTTGTGTTTTGTTTCATTCGCATGTTTGATTATTAGTTATTATTAGTCTGTCTACCTCTTCAAATGCTCACAATGCTCTGTTCCACCTTGTGATGTCATGAAAGTGTTAGATTTCACATTAACAACTGCATTTTACCTTTTGTTTAGTAGCGATTGAAAATTCCAGGCCTGAAATTGTCCAGATACTAGTGAAGATGTATGGAGTTTAAAAACACAATGAAGCACTTCCTGTATTACCAGATAATTACCAGATCACAAGGTGGAGCAGATTATTTTGATTTTGAGAGAAGAATTTACCTAAATATTCAGGATTTGTGTGTTAAACATCTGTGGAAACACAAAACAAAACACAACTCCACATACGTTTCTGATGTGAATGTAATCTTTTATACTTTCTCTCTTCTATTTCAGGACACCATTGCTGTGGAACTCTCACACCATCCCCTGGAAATGCTGTAGTCGTACTCCCTTTTTTTAAGAGACTCGCCTTGTGGTATTTAACGCCAGATATTTCTTCCTTGCAGTTTTCAAAGCAGTTATGATGATGATTCACCACCTGCCAACTTTGTCATGACCAAAGTATCTGTAATAGACTGTGCTTGCTGCGTTGGTGCCTCTCGTTATCACAGCTCACAGTAAGGGGGCGCTATGGGGGCCAAGCAAACCAAAGGACAAGATTCGGCAGGGCCCAGTCCCCAACACAGCTGGAAGAGGACCCCTACCAAGGAGCGAGGGAGTGACATACTGGCCTCTCTGATGCTGAAGTCTGGGGACAGGCTGAACCGAAGTGGCAGCCCTCCTCCTCCATACCAGAGACGCATTGGGATGATACAGGAGATGATGCTATTGGCCAAACAGGGAAAACACGACGAGGCTACGGAGATGCTCAAGACACTACGACAGGTAAGACACTGATGTTTATGTAGTGTTTACATTGATTAAAGGGCCCATACTACGCTATTTTCTCATTTATGGTATACAGTAATGTTGTTTCCTCTTTTAAAACATACCTGGAGTTGTGTTTTGTTTCAGTCACACATGTTTAACACACAAACCCTGCATATTTAGGCAGTTCTTTTCTCAAAAAATACTCTGTTCCACTTTGTGATGTAATGTGGTAATACTTCACTCCACTCCATTAAACTCCACTCCTTCACTAGAATTATTTGGATGATTTCAGACCTGGGATTGCTAATCTCTACTGAGTTAAAGGTAAAAGGAGCTGTTAACTTGAAAACTACCACTTCATGACATCACAAGATGGAACAGAGCATTTTGAGCTTTAAGATGTAGACAGACTAATAATAATCAAGGGTTACTCAAACATGTGTGAATAAAACAAAACACAACTCCAGATCTGTTTTTAAAAGTGTCTTAAAGCTTTGTGTGATATAGAACCTTTAAAGAAATGTAATTAAAGAGGGGGCATTATGCAAAATATATTTTTTAGCTTTATGCCATGTTATAATATTATTCCTTCATCACTACATGCCTAAAGAGGTTTTAGATGTCATCCATGCATGTTTGAGTAATTTAAAGATCTCTCCTGGGCCCAATTCAAATCATCCCTTAGCCGTAAGACTCTGTGCAATGCTCCGCCCAAAAGCCTACGTCACCCATGGTCCCACATGACAATCCTCTATAAATAGCTTATAGAAAAGCATGATTCAAAACTGTACACAACAACTTGACAAACCTTATGTGATGTGCAGTAGTTTCATTTGCGGTATGCTCTCTGATTGTCTTGCGATAGTGCTCAGAAGGGGAAGTGAATCAAAGCATCAAAAATTATTCATATATTTTGGCAAATATAGCATTTTCAAAGTAAGAAAAGGTAACATTGTGGTCTAAATATGTCATGTGTTAGCAGTTAATATCTGATGGAAGTAAAATACCCCCTCATTAAGGTGCATTCTCCTTTCTGCTGTGGTCCATATAAAGCCTTACAATGTAATAATTAGCCTGTTAATAATAGAGACTAATTTGACTAAGCTGCTAAAAAGACTTCTTTGTGGATGTGGATGTGGTGGGTAAGATTGTTTTCACATTGAGGATAGACAAAAAATTTAAATAAATGGGGAAAAAAATATATTTGGCTCATTTATATCTGAGTACATCGCTATATTATTGACGATACTGTTGACTACTATTAGGAAATATACCAATATGTTTTTTCATTGCTGATGCTGACAAAACCTGGAGATTTAGAGGTGATAGCTGAAAAGGACAAATATCGGCTCGATTTATATCTACTACTATTACTAGTACTACTATTCTCGTAAAATATTGATATTGATATAAGATATTGATCAACACTAAAACTAGTATTGAAAATGTTGTAATTTGAGTAAGTATTGATACTGACAAAGAATATGTGGCAATATTAAGGAAACTCCTATCATTTAGTGTTGAATATTACAATAGATTGTATTTTTAAGTGTTTTTGATTATCACCATTTTTGAAAGACTTTTTCAGACTTGGCACTATTTACTTTTAACACTATTCCGGAAAATAGCTGAACTTGCAATGGCAATAAAATGACTATTGTGCATATAACAAAGTGTAAGCTCAGTGATTGCATTGGAAATTGGCCTATTCCATTCATAACACAGCCTCCGTTACCAATCTGTTCCCTGTAATAAAACCGGTCATGATGGGACATTGGCACTGATTACTTCCTGGGAAAGCATAATGTTCCCTCTTGACCTTGTTAAGGAAAAAGCTGTGATACTTGCTGCTGTGATAACACTGTAGGTAGTCAAAGTGAATGGGTCAAAATAAGTGCTGTTTTACTATTGCAAATGGTGTTGGGACATTCTGTGAATACTATGAGGTGTTTACTTAAACCTAATGGCTGTGTTATGTTAAAAACCTTAAGATGATTGTAAGACTTTGGGAGTAAGGATGTTATCAACAAACAGAAGATAAGGCAAACATGGCATTGCATCTCTATGATTCAGAGAGAATTAAAAAGTACTCAGTTACTCAGATTGCTGACAGGTTTGTTTATTAAAAAGAGTCACTCTCTCAGGTGTGTTTGAAATGTGTTGTTTGTGGCCATTTCCCTGATGATCACAGGTCACTGAGTTCCTCTTCTGAGCCACTCTTGCTGAGAAGGAACTCTGTCACTGTCTCCTCTGACACCCCCTGCTATTTCAAACAGCAACAAATTCACAAACTGTTCAAGAGGAGAGGACAGGACATCGACCACTTTAAACATTAAGCACAAATTCATATTTTAAACATGTTTTGCCAATTCAAAATTGTATACTTTTTTATGACTGCACAGTAGTGGGATCATTGTGGTTTTGCTTATAGAGGGACTCATGGTGTACATAGCTGCATTTGCAGTGGACCATGAAAACTTTGTAAATACAGCTTTGACACAGTTTCAATGAGCATTTCAGTATGAGTTAGGGTTATTATGAAAAAAAAAACATCACAATTTTCCCTCCATATTGCTCAGTTTCTAATTTCACTTAAAGGTTGTATAGAGGATTTTCCAAGGAACGAGAAATCCAGCGACTGTTTGTCGTTTTTCAAATGTTGCGCATGCGTGAAACCACCCCCCCTCCCCCACAGCTTCCTACGTAGAAACGCCTCCTCCCGCCTCCTCCTTACGCCAGAAACAGGTTTGTTTCTAGAAACAAGTACTCATCGCTGCACATGACTTGTAAACAACTAACTACAGTGTTGGTTAGGCAAGGCGGAGAAGTGAGGAGTGGGGGGAGGGGGTTGCTGCGCGGATATTTCGTGCACGGAGAAGAAGTGAGGAGCAGAGGGAAGAGCGGAGCAGGGAGCGGAGAGAGGAGAGGGGAGCGGTGCGCGGAGAAGAAGTGAGGAGCCGGGAGAAGAGCGGAACGGGGAGCAGGGAGAGGAGAGAGGAGCGGTGCAGAGAAGGGTGCGCGGAGATTCAGTGCGAATGAACTAGCTACAACACGCAGCGGCAAGCGGGCTCTTTCTTTGCATTGAAAATTACGTTTTCAGGCATAGGATATCGCATACGTGTCCTGAAAAACGTTTGTCTAGCTCTTGGAATTAAAGTACGTTTTCATAATAAGCAGAAGTTTCCTGTCCAGAAGTAATTTGGCGACCAGTGCGTCAGTCTTTAGACCCTGCGTCTGCTTCAGTCGCGCCATCGCTGGAATGAATCTCCAAGAATCACATTAGTTTGGCTTCGCCGCTTTTCCCCTTGTCTTCGTCTTTCAGCGACCTCAAAAATGAACTTTCTTTTGCGGCTAACTGCTCCTGGATTCTTGTCTGCCATTGCAACAAACTTTGTGCTAACTGCGAGGAAGATATAGGTCAAAAAAGCCGCTAAGAACTGTTGTGTTGGTGGAGTAAACAGCGTTTGTGCGTCTTGCGTCTGTGGACTGCGTGACAGGCGTACGTAAACCACGTAATGGCAGCGTGCAGGCAGGTCAGTTACACTAGAAATGTAGGGAGTTTGATTGACAGCCTATCAGCTAATAGATAACGAGGCAGTGTCGTTATTTATTGGCAAATGTTTAGCCCCACCATGTCCAGAGTTGATGAATTTTTATTCTCTTTTTTTTTGGTCATCATAATTACAAGGCTACTGCATCTCTATAATGCTATCACTGACAATTTGAAACAAAAACAAAAAAATCCTCCATACAACCTTTAAACAAAAAAAACGAAAAATGCTTTCAACATCAATTTCATGAATGAGAAAATTTATATTCTAAAGTCTGAACTCTGCTCTAGACCACATGCCTTTACTTTCAGAGGGATAAACCTCTTGATTAAAATGACCCAAATGTATCATTGAGTATTTAAAAGAATTTGAATCTACTTTTGATTAAAATTGGACTAATTAAAGCCCTTTTGTGAAGCACCTTTTCACAGTACCTCAATTGCCCTGTTGTAAAAGAATTACAGACTTGCTGGTTAAATAAAGATACAGAGTTCCACTTTATCAACCCAAATTTATGAGCTGAATTCTATATGGCCTGTCAACCATAGATAATTATAGCTATAAATATGTCTCAAATATAAGAGTGAATTCAGAAATGGACTTCCCCGCCCACCTCAAGGCCAGCTCCTAATTTGGGCAAACAGATCAATTCACATGTCTTATTCAGAACCTCCATTTAGAAACTTGCAAAATCAATAGGAGACAACAGCTATTAGAAAGAGTTGAGTTTTGACTTACCTAATGTGTCATTGCTTTTTGTGGAACCATAGACTGTGTAAAATTCTGTACTCATTCTATATTCATTATATTTCAGTGCTTATAGAGGCATCTAGCACTGTCAGAAGTATCGGAAACCAGATACTGATTGATATTAAAAGTAGTATCAAAACGAGATACTCATTTGAGCAGGTGTCAATACTAAAAAAGTTAAATCAACAGAACAGAAATTATACTAAGTGAGGAATAACTTTGGACTATGTTTTTATCAGTCAATCTTTATTTATAGAGCCCTTCATAATAAGTATGGTGCTTTCCAATAAAATCAACATAATACATTTCTTTTTAAAGCTTATTTTACACGTCTCCAAGATAATTAATAAAAAGAGTGAAACTCAAACTGACAAACTGATACAAGAATCACTTTTCAGAACACATGTATTCAGATCTAAACTACAGTGTTAGCCGTTTTTATGCAGAATAAAACAGGATTGCATCTTTTGTGACTTAGTAATTGTGTCCATGCTCTACTTTGGACCAGTGCAAACAGCTGAAAATGCACTAGTTCTGTTCTTCATATTTTTTCACCAGGAAAAATGGACATCTCTTAGATCACTGCCCACCTCTCTGGCTGTCCGCCCTGTGTCTGTGGACTTTTGGCTTGTATTCAGAGACTGTTACAGAGTGGAGACAGGAGGCCGCTGGTATTTACAGCCTTTCTGTCCCTCTTTCAGGGCATTAGGGGCT